AAAACGATGCAAAAATTGATTTTTTTAGTAATTGCAAAATTTAATAAAGCAAACTTTAACATATCACAGTTTTAAAATAGTGGAAGTTTTTAAAGTTTTTGTTGTTGGAAAAGTATCAAAAACTATAAAAAACTATTTCCAGGTTGTGAACCTACTGAAGCTGGGAGAGGTCCCTAGGCCGGTCATCAGTGCTAAGCAGGTTCTTGTTAAGGTAATACTTTGTTTTCACATTCAGTGGTCGCCACAATGTAATGATATAAATGGAGGAGGAACTTAAATCTAAAAAACCCAAGCCTGCGATTATGGCTAGGGTCTAAGCTGTCGTTGAACCTTATTTACGGCTTGAACTTTCAGATTCAAGCTGCATTTGCATTTGGTGGATTTTCATGGAAGGAATTGGCGCATTGCGGGTTTTATGAGAACAAGACTAAAACCAACCTAGGTCGGTTTTATTTTCATTGGGTCTAACTCCTTAAGTCGAGCCGAATATCTTGCAGCTGTCAATTAGGTGACACAAGCTGTCGTCAGAGTTGGGTCGAAGATTGGATCTTATAGTCGGGTTTAAGAAATTACGGCTCAAGCCGAAGTTTTTAAATCGCGGGCTCCAGATAACAACGCAACTATGCATCACATTCTAAGAACTGAAAGTTCTGCAACGCTTTGGCCGTTAAAAACCCCTGTCAAGAGAAACAGATATTCCACGCTGCACATTACCCTGCTGTTGGTTAATCTTATCATGCAATATTATTGTTTAAAAAGTCGTCTTTTTATTCTGCTTAATTTTTTAGACCTCTACAAAAAACAGCCATGTTCTGAGAAAACAATAAAAAAATTGATGAACGGAATATTTTTTTTTTACATTTTTGACATTTTTAATACTCTCCGAAAGTACTGTGTCATTTTATGTAGTAAGTAACGAACGTCTAATTTTTATGGCAAACGAAACATCTGGGAAGTGTTTTTTTGATTTAATTTTTTTATTTTGGGGTGTTTTTTTTTATACCAACCCTGGCAAATTGTATTCTATTTTATTTGCATATGTTCATTTCAACCTAATTTTGCCTGCATTAGACAATTTTTTTTACAGGTGAAAGCTACCGCTGTCAATATCGAGGATATAATGACAGCTGTTGGAAGACGACCCCTTGTTTCCCTGACAGCGACACAAGAAAACCCGGTAGTTTTGGGACAAGAGTTTTCAGGTTTGTAAACTTCTACATTTTTTAATAAAAGATGAATAAAAACTACAGAGCGTACCATATCATATTAGATTATCTCCAAGTTTTAATGCTAAAATACGATATTAATAATAGAATAACCTATAATTTTTTGCATGACAATATTTACATCAGCCTTACACATTTTTTCAAAATGGTTCTTTTTTAATTTTCTGATTAGTCCCTTTAAATCTCAATTTAAAGAGCTACGATCTAGTACAGTGGTACCTTTATCAATATCTTTATTAATTGATAGCTTCTCTTGACTTCTATGTTTATGTGTATCCATGCTGTTTAACAGCTTGATTTAAATCAAAGTTAAAATCTAAAGTCATCTTCATTGCATTGATAAATTCGCCTGCCACTCTATGATGTGGGACACCCTGTAAATGGTAATATCGTTTATTTCAGAGTTGATCTATATACTTACTTAGAAATTAGTATTCTCGGTTTTGTTGTTTCTATGTTTATCGAATCATAACTCTTAAACCACTGGACCGATTTGCATCAAATTTTGATTAAGGAAGTCGAGTTGCATAGAACCATGATACTTTTTCTGAGTTTTCTAAACAAATTTTAACTTGATGTAATGACTTTTAATTGGAAAGTTCAATTTTAAGACAAAATTGGGTTCCCAAATCAGTAAGATATATACCTATTATAGGAGTAGTTGAGAATATCAGAGCAAATATATTCCTCTTCTAGGAAAAGTTGAGATCAGAGCAAATATATTCCTCTTCTAGGAATAGTTGAGATCAGAGAAAATATATTCCTATTCTATGAATAGTTGAGATCAGAGAAAATATATTCCTAGTTTAGGAAAAGTTGAGATCAGAGCAAATATATTCCTATTCTAGGAATAGTTGAGATCAGAGCAAATATATTCCTATTCTATAAATAGTTGAGATCAGAGCAAATATATTCCTATTCTAGGAATAGTTGAGATCAGAGCAAATATATTTGAATTCTTGGAATAGTGGAGAAGATCTGAGCAAATATATTCCTATTCTAGGAGTAATTGAAGAGATCGGAGCAAATGTTACCAAATTCAAGGTTGGAGACCCTGTACTTGGGCACAAGCTCCCATTCAGAGTCAGGTGATTATTTTGTACTTCATTTCCTAACCTTATTTTATGCATTTATTAAATAAATGATTTTGAAAATGCTCCACGTAAAGAATAATTTCACAATCGTTTTTCATTTATCTGTTTACAGTAATATCACATTCGTTTTATTTTGAAAATCTCTTTTTTAGTTTAACTCTTTTTTTGCGATGCATTTTTGAATATTTGTGATAGGTTTGGTTCCTGGGCAGAATATGTTGCAGTAGGAGCTGATGTTTTAGGAAAATTCGCAATTAAGAAAACTACAGATTCATGTGTACAGTGTACATTTTTAATAAATTACAACTAGCTGAAGTGCCCGGCGTGGACCGTCGAATTAAAGATGAAATTTAGAATTTAGAAAAAAATGTTGAATTTTGAAAATAAAATTTAAGTTTTGAAGTAAACAAAATTTCAAATTTTTTTAGCCTATGTTGCTCCTAGGGTACCCATTGGTTCCCTAAAAAAATTCAGCCAATTTTGTCCAGTGGTTTGGTCAGCTATAGCTAACATATAAACATATATATCTGAGCGAAAAGCCTTATTATATAGATAACTATTACAATGTACACTGTACAGTTAGAGCGAGTAGTTTACAGTTGACAGTTGACAGTTGACATTTAACAGTTGACAGTTAACAGTTAACAGATGACAGATGACAGATGACAGCTCTAAACCTGAAAAGTACTGTTCATCTTTACTTATATTGTAAAGTTTTTAGTACATAAACCTGAAAAGTAATGTAAATGCTTAAATATATTGCGATGTTAACAGTCATTAACCTAAAAAGTACTGTACATGTTTACTTATATTGCGATGTTAACAGTACATAAACCTGAAAAGTACTGTACATGTTTACTTATATTGTGATTATAACAGTACATAAACCTGAAAAGTACTGTACATATTTACTTATATTGCGATCATAACAGTACATTAACCTGAAAAGTACTGTACATGTTTACTTATATTGCGATTATAACAGTACATAAACCTGAAAAGTACTGTGCATGTTTACCTATATTGTGATTATAACAGTACATAAACCTGAAAAGTACACCTACGCTGAAGCTGCAGCCCTACCAATGAGTGCAGCAGTGGCATATGCTGCTGTGAACGTAAGTTATATAAATAATATAAATAATAATATGCATATTTTTTTATGATGATTTTGATATACACTATACAGGGTTACCCACAAAGGATGAAACTTCAGAGACGACTGTTCGGATTTTATTTGCTCTTATTCCTTAAATGAATAAGGAAACTTTTACTTTAACTTTATCTTTAACTTTTTTTCGTTTTTTACTAGATCATTCAGTTTATCATTTAAGACAATATTGATACAGTGAAACCCTTAATAACGAATACATCGGAAGAATTTATCAAATGTCGTCTTGAGAATTTTTCAATGAGTTTCATACTATGTTACGTAAATCTCAGTATTTGCGAAAATAAATAAATAGCCATGAATATGCGGGAACAGTTTTAAAGAGCTCCATATAATCATTTAATTAAAAAACTGAATATCTGCAACATTCCATTATCAGAAAGTGAAGAATACGACATTTGATGAATTCTTTCGATGTATTCGTTATTAAGGGTTCCCCTAGAATTTTTTTAACCCCTCCCCCTAGAAAAATATCAAAATGTATATCAAATTATTAATTGGGTTTTATTTGCATTTTCCACTCATTTCTGGCATTTACAAACTCCATTAATTAAAGGCTTCATTAATCATACCTTTCAGCTTTCACCTTGTTTTATATCCTTCATTATAGTCATTCATTTTTTATTTAACTACAAAGATCTGTAAAATTACTGAATTTATTTACGTAAGATAAAAAATAATAGTTTTACTCTAAGAGGAAAAATATGTTACTTTTTTAAATCTTTAGAAAAGCTACTCTGCAAAACTTTGAAAAAATTTTCTTGTCATCAATGTAGTATGTTAAGATCTTAAATAAATCTAATATAGAAATGGCATTATTTAGAAGTAAAAATGTATTTTTCATTGCCCATACCTTTTTTTCTATTAAAAAAACATCTAATTGTAATAACTTTGACTATTACTTTAGAATTTAGAATTAAGAGTATGTTGGCTTAAAATCTGAAATATCTGAAGTATCTGCACATTTGAATTATTTTCGTGCAAATTTAAAAGATATTCAATTTTAAAATCAAATTTTTAAATTCTAGGGGGGTATTTACCCCCAGGATTCTAGGGGGGGGGCGGTAAATAATCCCAATAACCCCCCTTATTTACGCCACTGTTCAAAAATCAATTCTTTTGTCCCAATTTTATAAAACACCTCTTTATTTGTAATTTAATTTTAATTTTTTTAATATTCAATATTTTAATACAGACAGTTTTGAAAGAAAGTAACGTCTTGTATTTCTTTTTCCTCAATGTTCATAAATATTTACTTTTATCAAATTTTGAAAGAAAATAAATAATGTAAATTTAATATAAGCCTAAGTGTTCTGTTTTCTCAAAAGTTCTAAAACTTAATTCTTTTGCCTTAATTTTGCACACAATAAAATAACTTCAATTTTCCCTGTACATAAATTGTGTTTTAATTTAATGCTGAAAGAATAAGATGTAAAAGAATGTAGAATATAAACTAAAGTGATAAAGGGGGGAGGGCAGAGGTGGAGGGTCGATATTCTGCAAAATATTCCTCCCTATTCTATTTCTAGGTAAACCCTGGATTAGAGATGAAAGAGGTGAGAGATGGTGTTCTAACTTTTCAAGAGGATAAATTAAACTCTGCAACTATTGCAGGTTATTATTATTATTATCATTATTATTATTATTATTATTATTATTATTATTATTATTATTAATATGATTATGATTATGATTATGATTATGATTATGATTATGATTATGATTATGATTATGATTATGATTATGATTATGATTATGATTATGATTATTATTATTGTTTTATCCAGACTCAGACATATTTTCATTTAAATAATAATTTGATATTATTAATTATTAAATAAATGAAGCTATAAATTTTATCAAAATTAAATTTTTGTAAAAGTAAGTAAAATGTTTTCTTCTCAATTCGTATATTTTGTTTAGTTATTGGAGCCAGCTCAACTGTTGGCAGCATTGTTGTCAGCATGCTAGCAGCAAGGTGCATTCATTTATTTATCTTTCTTTATCTATCAAGAAGCAATCTTTATTTTTGTATATATTTTAACGTGAAAACTCGTTACAATACAACCAAGGAAATGCTTTAGCTTGGTTGTATTGGTTGGTTCAAGACAATGCTAGGTTTCCAGGCTTTTAGATATGTAAAGCTAGGTTCCCAGGATAGTAGATATGTAAAGCTAGGTTCCCAGGATAGTAGATATGTAAAGTTAGGTTCCCAGGATAGTATTAATGTAAGGCTAGGTTCCCAGGCTAGTAGATATGTAAAGCTAGGTTCCCAGGATAGTAGATATGTAAAAGCTAGGTTCCCAAGGCTAGTATTTATGTAAGGCTAGGTTCCATGGCTAGTAGATATAGTAGATATGTAAAGCTAGGTTCCTAGGCTAGTAAAAATGTAAAGCTAGGTTCCCAGGATAGTAGATGTATAAAGTTAGGTTCCCAGGATAGTAGATATGTAAAGCTAGGTTTGCAGGCTAGTAGATATAGTAGATATGTAAAGCTAGGTTCCCAGGCTAGTAGAAATGTAAAGCTAGGTTCCCAGGATAGTAGATATGTAAAGTTAGGTTCCCAGGATAGTAGATATGTAAAGCTAGGTTTCCAGGCTAGTAGATATAGTAGATATGTAAAGCTAGGTTCCCAGGCTAGTAGAAATGTAAAGCTAGGTTCCCAGGATAGTAACTATGTAAAGCTAGGTTCCCAGGTTAGTAGAAATGTAAAGCTAGGTTGCCAGGATAGTAACTATGTAAAGCTAGGTTCCCAGGATAGTAGATATGTAAAGCAAGGTTCCCAGGATAGTAGATATGTAAAGCTAGGTTCCCAGGATAGTAGATATGTAAAGTTAAGTTCCCAGGCTAGTATATGTGTAAAGTTAGGTTTCTAGGCTAGTAGATATGTAAAGCTAGGTTCCCAGGATAGTAGAAATGTAAAGTAAGGTTCCCAGGCTAGTAGATATGTAAAGCTAGGTTCCCAGGCTAGTATAATTGTATAGCTAGTTTCTCAGGCTAGTAGAAATGTAAAGCTAGGTTGCCAGGCTAGTAAATATGTAAAGCTAGGTTTCCAGGCTAGTAAATATGTAAAGCTAGGTTGCCAGGCTAGTAAATATGTAAAGGTAGGTTTCCAGGCTAGTAAATATGTAAAGCTTGTTTATTTGTTTTCAAGTCCGATGATAAGTCAGACCCCTTTTGACCGATTTGTCTCAAATTTTTATTAGGGCACTCGTAGATCAAATAGCTTTGATTGTTTCGAACATTTTAAATTAATAAAGTTGCCTTTTACAAAGAACAAGCAGACCCGATTCACCTTGGCACCATTAAAACCTTTTTCTGATTAATGTGAAGAATATATCTCGTTATTCTAGTTTGAAACTGCTACTTTGTAAATGATGAGTCCCTTGAAATTACGCCTACAGTCCCTTTAATTTCTATGTTTATTGGAACACCCTGTACAGTCCCTTTAATTCCTATGTTTATTGGAACACCCTGTACAGTCCCTTTAATTCCTATGTTTATTGGAACACCCTGTACAGTCCCTTTAATTCCTATGCTTATTGGAACACCCTGTACAGTCCCTTTAATTCCTATGTTTATTGGAAGACCCTGTACAGTCCCTTTAATTCCTATGTTTATTGGAACACCCTGTACAGTCCCTTTAATTCCTATGTTTATTAGAATACCCTGTATAGTCCCTTTAATTCCTATATTTATTGGAACACCCTGTATATAAAGAAAAACATCTAACATGCCCTTTCATTAAGAATTTCATTAAGAACAGAAAGATTTATAATATTGTAATTTTCTGCCGGTTGGGAAATCTTTCATATTGCATATTAAGATAGTTTAAAGCACGAATACAATTTTTTAAGTTCTTAAGTACTTCCACAAAGACATTTTCCCAAGTGGCAACTTCCCAAGGGTATTTTCCCAAGTAGCAACTTTCCAAGGGTATTTTTCCAAGCAGTAACTTCCCAAATGTACAATTTCCCCATGTTCTGTCCTAGCCGCAGTGCTTGCCTCCTAGAATGTTTATACCGCAGTGATTGGCCCTCTTGACCATCCCTGCCACAGTGCTCGGCCCTGATTTTAGCCTGCGGCGGCTTGTAAGGCCTAACATAATCTTTGGGAATTGGCCGCTTGGGAAATAGCACATTTGGAAAGTTGCTACTTGGGAAATTGTCCCTTGGGAAGTCGTCCTTGGAATAATACCTTAAACATATAAAAAGATTGTCATGGGTTCTCTGATAATCATTGTAGATGTAATAGAAATATTTTGTGTACTAAAAATTAATTTTCTGGAATTATAATTTAGAAAATAGTTAAGTTAAGATAGATAGATATAATCATGGGGGAAGGGGTCCAAAAAATTATCGATTGTATATTATCTAGAGGATTCAATGTTGTTGGAGTATGTTCTGCTGGAAATGGCGAAGCTGTCCTCAGGTAAACAAAATGAGACACATAGACCTGCAGAATAGAAAGACGACTTTTAGACTCAAGTTATCTTTTTAAATACAGTGGTCGATGTTCATATCACTACAATGAAGACAACTTTTCTATTAAAATTTTGATTTCTAAGTTTTCATAATTAGCACAGTAGAAATCAAAATTTGTTATCATTGTATTGATATCTACGACAACGACTGCAGTACAATGAAACGCAGTAAATGTGAAGTAAACACAGACCCATTTTAATCAATATACATTAGATAGAACTTATAATACATTAGACAGAACTTATATATAGGTCGCAATAAACTCCTTAAGTATTTAGGTTTCAGCCTTTACCCCTTTTCATTTCTCCTTAAAAGTCCCTTTGAGACTGAAATTCTTGTTGCTTATATCATAAAGACAAATAGCTGTGAAAAGTAGAAATCAGATACTGAAATCAGATACTGAAATCAGATACTGAAATCAGATACTGAAATCCCTGAAAGAGGATTATGAAATCCCCAAATCAGTAGTGTTGGATCCTGGACCCAGAGAAGACCCACCCATCTTCTTCTCGATCAATACTATCGTTATTTATTATATATTTGTAACTAAAATTATGACCCTAGAGTTAGGAGTCCGAGCATTGAAATACTCTAGCAAAAACCACCTGTCAAGTGTATAAATTTCACAGAGTGGTAATTTTCCTGATTTTTTATTTCGTCATTTTTCTTCAACGGGACTTTTCATTTTAATATCAAGTGACAGAGCATTTAAAAAGAGGGACATGTCCGATTCACATCATTACCCTTTAATTTCTTATTTGATGTGGAAGATATTGCAGTGGATGAAATCCCAGAAAAAGGATTATAAAATTCACAAATCAGTTGCGTCTAATCCTGGAACCAGAGAAAACCTACACATCGTCCTCTCCTTTTTTACACGAGTTATTTATCATGCTTTTACATTTAAAAGCAATAAGTGTACTTCTAAAGTGGTGACCCCCGACAAAAAAATATCTTGGCAGTAAAAACTGCCTCCTGGTCGAAAACAGCTCAAGAATTGGACGAGGATAACAATCTCAAGCTTAAACATCTTATCCACAAATTCCCCAAGCGAGGATTATAAAATCTGCAAATCAGAAGTGTCAGATCCTGGAACCAGAGAAGATCTCCTCCTCTTCTTTATTACACTTGTTATTTATCATGTATTCACATCTAGAACCAATAAATGTTTTTTTTTGAAGCAGCAATTTGCAAATTATTTTTATAGATAACCCAAAATATTCAATTTTTAAAGAGAAAAACATGAAAATCGCATTGATTTTTGTTGGATTTTTTAAAGAGTATTATTGTCGGATATGCTGCTATGCAAATGGAGAGCCACTTTTAATTATGTTTAAGTCTCTTAATCCTTAACTTCACAAAAGTTTCAGCTCAGCAGTTAAAGATAATTTAATTAGTAGGACTTAATGAATGGTTTCTCAAGGGATTAATTTATTCATTCATTTAGAGAATAAATACGTCATTGTACGTTTTATTTCATGCAGCCAACAAATGTAATATGCAAACAGTAAAATGTAAAATTTCCATCATTAATTCAGCTTTTTTGATAATTTTTCAGAGCTGAAAACTTTAGATTTGTGGATAGCGAGATCAATGCTTAATCCTCTCTTTTTGCTTATATACAGACTAACTTAGTCTTTAGCTTAATTTTAGAGATTAGAGATGCGCTCTTTAACTTTTGAAAAACCGGTTTTTCATTTTTCCGCATTTGTGGTGTCATATCAATTTGACTAATGATCTATTGAACGCATTTAAATTTTGAATCAATGTTTATAAAGACTAACTTTTGAAAGGACTTTAGTCCTCTCAAATGTGATAAAATATGTTTTTTAATAAGTTCATGTTAACATTAAATTTATATTTGTTTAGTTTCTCTAAAAGCCGACTTGTTAACGGCTTTTGTTAAGTCGTAAATTAGTTTTATTAATAAATCATGGTAGTAGAAAATGTGATATCAACAAGAAGATATTAAAAAGAAAATTAAAAGTTTCCTCATGCAGTGGATATTCAGTTTAAGCGATCTGGATTAAGGGTATCCAATTCTAAAGTTTTCAGCTCAGTGCAAGGAGTGCAATTGTTAATTATATAATTATTTAACAAAGCCCTTTTCGGAAACAGTTTAATTATTAAAAATATGCATTTTTATGTCTAGCCATTTAAAAATCTACAATACTATACCTTTTCATTCTTCATTTTAGTTATTTCTCATCAGGTCAATGTTTCCTTCATCACCCCTGACCATGGGTTCGATACCATGCGGGATATCGAATAAATATTAAATTAATCTGCAGATTAAATAAAGATTAGAATCATGTTTTGATCTGAATTTTCAAAATACAAGAGTTCTCAGGGGTGTATATTTTTCTGTTTCCCCCCCCCCCTGGAAGGGAAAAGGGGAAGACGGAAGGATAAAGGGACAAGAAAGAAGGGAAAAAGTGCAAGAGGGAAGGGAAAAGGGGAAGAGAAAAGGAAAAAGGGGGAAGGGAAGGGGGAAGAGGAGGTAGGGGGAAGGGGAAAGGGAAGGGGAAAAGGAAAAAGGGAAAGGAAAAGTGGAAGAGGGAAGGGTAAAGGGAAGAGGGAAGGGAAAAGGGGCAAAAGGGAAGGGAAAAGGGGCAAGAGGGAAGAGGGCAGGGGAAAGGGAGAAGAGAAGGTAAAAAAAACACACACGAAAAAACAGTATCTGAAAACTGAAAAGCATAAAAAAAACTCAGGGGGGACCTTGAAGTTGACCTATTCAGGGCACCAAAACGCTCCATTATACAACTGAAATCCAAAAGAATTCTTTGGAAGTTCTAACACCAAGCTCTCGCCACATTTTTCAAAATTCTCTTTTCTAAAAAAGGAAGCACGGATACAGACACACAAAATACGAAAAGCAAAACTGAAAATCCTTCGATAACTAGGTCACACATTTAGAATGCACTATTTCAAGCAGACGCTCTTAAGTGTCATGTATATATCTAATAAAGATAAACTAGGACTGGTATTTCAAAATTTTGAAGGTGTCCTTTAGTTACTCCTTTTAAGGAATGGAGCAGTGGGTGTATTGGATAGGAATAAGGGAGGTTTGAAACTAAAAGGAGAAATGAAGGTGAATATATACTTATATCAATTTAATAAAGACAACTTTTGGTTTAAATTTCTTGATTTCTACAAAAGCTTTAAATAGCAAGGATACCTTTAAACATTGAAATAAAGAGAAGCTTCTTCTTGAATACTGATTTTATATTAGCTAGTTAAAATAGGGTAAATATTTTTTATTTAACAATAATATTTAATATTTAATAAAAATTATATTATTTATTTAGTTAGATATTGTTATCGATGCTGTGGGAGGGCAGGTGGCAGAGGATTCAGGCAGAGAAGCTTTAGGTAATATTTTAGATAATAATTTACCATTCAAGAAATATAGAGCTTTAGGTAATATTTTAGATTATTATTTACCATTCAAGAAATATAGAGCTTTAGGTAATATTTTAGATAATAATTTACCACTCAAGAAATCTTAGAAATCTAGAAATATAGAGCTTTAGGTAATATTTTAGATAATATAATTTATAATTCTAGAAATATAGAGCTTTAGGTAATATTTTAGATAATAATTTACAAATATAGAGCTTTAGGTAATATTTTAGATTATTATTTACCATTCAAGAAATATAGAGCTTTAGGTAATATTTTAGATAATAATTTACCATTCTAGAAATCTTAGCATTCTAGAAATATAGAGCTTTAGGTAATATTTTAGATAAAAATTTACCATTCTAGAAATATAGAGCTTTAGGTAATATTTTAGATAAAAATTTAGAATTATAGAAATCTTAGAATTCTAGAAATATAGAGCTTTAGGTAATATTTTAGATGATAATTTAGAATTATAGAAATTCTAGAATTCTATAAATATAGCAATATTCTAGAAATCTTAGCTTAGATTAAAAGTGGTTTCATAGATATACCGTGATTAAAGTATGAATCATTTGTTAATATTATTATATTATTTTTGCTTATATAAATAGAATTTATTTTGAATTAGCTCGATAGAGTTAAAAAAGTATAGTAGTCTTATTTATGACAAAAAAGATTAATTTAAAGTTATCAATGCTTCATTAAAATCCTTTTCTTAAAGGCTTAACTTTCAAAACGCTGTGCACCCCCTTCCTAGAAACAATTTTAATTTTAAAACGTTTTTTTTTCAACTAAATACTTTCCTATTTTAGTGTTAATTTTTTAACTTAAAGAAGTTAATTTAAATTTTTTTATGGTCATAAACGATTTTTGACCTGCCAAGAACCATTCTTTGAATCATTATAACAACTTCAAAATAATTTTTTCATGAATCTTCATTTTTCTTTTAAACTAATTAAACAATTATAAGAATATTTTTTTTTAACCTGCGCAGTGCGCACACATTTCTTTGGGAGTATTCAAGCTCAATAGAAAAAAAATCTTAATTAGGAATTACTATTCATAAAATAAATTGTTTGTCATGTTGAAAATTTATTTATAGAAAAAAAAATAGCTTGTTTTAAAATCTTTAGAATATTTGTTTGGAGGGGACTGGACCATTAATAGATTCAAATTGTTCTTATTGTCTGTATAAACTAGATACTGGATATTTTAATATCTTTAAAAAAAGCATAGTACTAAGGTTTAGACTATCAGGATACAAAGATAAGGGTATTTAGAACATGAGATTCCTTTCAAAATATTTCTCTCTTGAGTAATTTTGTTTACAGAAGGATCTGGTCATTTTATAACTGTTGTTGGACCGACTGAATTTGGAGAAGGAACGGACGGAGGTATTCATTTTAAACTACTTAGATTAAAAATATATTGAGATTTGACATTCAAATATTGTGAATATGTTTATTAAAATGATTAAGGACAATGTTAATTAGTTTCCCAAAGTCCTTTTCCCAAGTGGCAAATTCCCAAATGTGCAATTTCTCAAGCAGCAACTTTTCAAGTCTGTCCTAGCCGCAGCGCTGGGTCTCCTAGCCCATCCTGTCTGCAGCACCCAGTCCCTTCGTACCTTGCGGCGCCTCAAAAGACCTAATCAAACCACCTAACCTTTGGGAAGTGGTCTCTTAGGAAATTGCACATTTGGAAAATTGCCGCTTGGGAAATTGCACAATTTGGAAGTGGCCACTTGAGAAATTGTCACTTGGGAAGTCGCCTTTAGGAAAATGCCTTTGGGAAAATACCTAACACCATTAAGACTATCTATCTCATATTTAGAAACAGATAGAAATACTGTAGCCTAACATTTTTAATTTTTTCATGAACAATATTGTACTATACTAGGGATAAAGAATATTGGAAATTGGATGAGTAAATACTATATACCTATGTACTAAGGTATGTAGAATGTTGGGAATGTGATGACTATATATATATATATGTACTATGTACTAGATAAGAAGAATATTGGGAATGGGATGAGTATATATTTATTTACTAGGTATGAATAATATTGGGAATGGGATGAGTATATATTTATGTACTAGGTATGAAGAATATTGGGAATGGGATGAGTATTTATCTATGTTCTAGGTATGAAGAATATTGGGAATGAGATGAGTATATGTCTATATGTTCTAGGTATGAAGAATATTGGGAACGGGATGAGTATAACCTCTAGAAAGATGAAATCAATGTTCTCCTCTGTTAAATACTCTCTAGCATCTATGCCATTGTATGTAAGGTTAGTTCATAAAAAAATAAAAATGAAAAAGCCACGAAAGGTGTAGTTTGAGAAATATATATCTAGTCAGGGGAGTAAATTATCCCCCTCCTCTTTTTGAAAATAATTTTCTACCCCAGATATTTGGTATGTTTGCATGAAGCTGTAACATTTTTTTTTGTAGGTTTAATTTAATTTTGAAGGTTTAATTTCATAAATAAATAATTACTTACTTACTTAATTACTTACTTTGTTGATGTTGGGAGTATAGATTATATTTGGGTGATAAGTATCAAAAAAGATGAAAATCTTGTCTTCTAATTTTTCATTTATCCCCCCTCACCCCCCCACCCCTTTAGACAGTTCTGACTGGATCAGGTCCTAGTCTGGCTCTGGTTAATTGTTTGCTTATGGGTCTAAAAAATATGAAATCGATTTTTTTAATTTTTAGAGATATTTTGGAAAAGCTAGTTGAGGAAGGGGTGTCTGTAATACTAGACTCAGAGGTGGGTTTTTTTATTTAAAAAACTGAAAAAAAAACTTTATCTTTTTGCATCTTGCACTTTTATTTTGTCTAAATTATATTGTTATTTCTATTGTAAAGTTGAAATTCTTGAAAAAGCAAGAATTCAGTTTAGATAAAAAGTATTTTAACAAAAATACAGAAGGAAACGCATTTATTTATTTATAAAAATCTCAATTTTTGATCTTTGTTTAAAGTCTTGAGCAAAAAGTTTTAATATAGTAATTCGAATAAACATATTTTAAATTTAATAATTTTGGTATGGGTATTTTTTTCAAACATCCAATTCTTTTAGAACTAAGTTCAATATTATTCGATGTAACAACACCATTTAAAAATCAAGTTGTGCATTGTGCAATGTGCATGCCTTATTATTAGCCACATTTTCTAGCTTGTATTTTCAGGTGGAATTATTGAATGAAGAGGCTGTAAAAACTGCTATTGATAAAGTCAGGTAAAATCATGAACTTTTATTAATTACCATAATTTTTTTGTTCATAAACACTGTTCATGTTTATTTGTGGTTTCTCTGAAAAGGTGACTTGCACAGTTCTTGTCTATTAGAAACAATGGAGATATTCACAGAAATAACACTTTTTGAGACTGACTTTATCTTCAACATTTTTTATCAGAGTTAAGTTTTCGATGTAAAGCTTTGCATACAGTCCCTTAAAGGGAGTGACCGGCTATGTAAGGTAGTTGAACTGAGTATGCAGTGTTGTGGAAAGCTTCTTTCGGATTCATTTGAGACATATTAAACTTTTTAAAGATCTGTAAATCCTGAATTTGAGCGCAAATTCGACGTTCAAAACTCCTACTTTGGAGGTGGATTGGATACGTTTTCAGAATTAGTTTTTTTCAAATTATTAAATAACAATGACATAAAATGTAAAAAAAGTTCTACAATAAACTACAGACGTCATATAAAGGAATATGTTGAGAAAATACAAATTAATCTTATCATAGAAAATAAGTAATCTTGCTCAATTATTAGTTTCTATTTTCTCATTATTTACAAAGATTTTCGCAGATTTTCTAGAATTATTATTGAAAAGACGACATTTGAAGAGTTTGAAGAAATCTGCCAATAAATTCAAAGAAGATAAGAAATTCAATATAATAATGAAAACAAAATTATCGATTTTAGCATTGATTTATTAACAAATTTCTTTTGAGAAATATGTTCCTAACCATCTAATTAGATTACTGTATAATTTTTGCTTTTATTTTTCGTTGTCGTTATTCAATAATCAAAAAAAAAAAATTCTGAAAACGTTTCCACCCCCAAAGTAGAAGTTTTGAACGTCGAATTTGCGCTCAAACTCAGGATGTACAGATCTTTAAAAGGTTTAATATGTCTCAAATGAATCCGAAAGAAGTTTTCCACAACACTACATACTCAGTTCAACTACCTTACATAGCGGTCACTCCCTTTAAACCAAGAATCTAAACCCTATATTCACATTAAATAAAACCCTGTAAGAGGATTATAAAAGATGAGATCTGTAACACTTTGTTATTTTTTAAAAATAATTTATTTTTTAAATTGAAATTTTAACAAAATTCGATGAATAATTAAATATCAGCTGCAAGTATTTTTCTGTTTTGTCTAAAAATCTCCATTTTCTTCTTGTTCGTGCATCATCCATTATGGCAGATTTTGAAATTGAAAAGAAAAAATGTTAACATTATTTTTGTAATATTGAACTTCCAAAGGTATTTCAAAATTAAAAATTTAACACAAAAATTTTGAACAGAATTTTCACCAAGTTTTTTATTCCTGCAATTCTGGTCTTAGTTTTAACAAAGCTTTCGATTCAAAAGTTCATTGATTGGTTGTTTACTAACATCATGAAGTCAAAAATCATTCCAAAGCATTGGGGGAGTTTTGAAAAGAAATATACACCCCTAAAAATGAATTTCTCTCATTGAATTAAAATATGAACAGCTTATCATTAAAATACTTTGGAAATCTATTATGCTAAAATGATTGTTTTGTGTATAAGCTTGTTTACCTTTTTAATATGATTGTTCGGTTTTGCGGATTAAGAATTGTTTTATAATTTTTCAAAATCTGCTCTGATTGTTTGATTGAATTTTGTTTTTAGAAATTTTTTTATTTTATTTTTGTTCTGAAGAGCTACTGAAATTATAATTATGAACTGAAATTTTATTGCAACAAAACAAGTTTGCAATGATAGCTCTTGAATGGTTTAATTATTTTCCGATGACAATAAGTTATATTTTACATAATCATACCTAAGATGCCTTCACTTCACAATCACATGTTTCATATATAAAGTAGTAATCTCGGTTTGTCTATTTGTTTGGATGTCCGATCATAACTTAGAAACCACTTTTACTCATATTTTGATTGGGGAAATCAGTAGAACCATTAAAAAGTTCTAATTACTTGGTTTTTAAATTTTAAGTTCCCAAGCTAGAGTTTTAGTATTTTAATAGTCTTTAAAAAAAAACCATAAACTTATGCACTCTAAAAGGGACTGTAAGCGTAATTTCTAGTGACCCTTATGCAAAGATGGCAATACCCGATTACATCGGTATAACCCTTGAAACCTTTATCTGATCGAAAATGTGGAGGATAACGTCGTTTTTCTTACTCGAAAAATGTTGTTTTCTCAATATTTCTTATAATCAATAAATGTGCAAATCACTTTCGCAGAAAGACCGCAAATGAAAACGAACAAATTAAAGAAACAAAAACATAGATATCTAATTGAAACTTGATCAGCCATCTGTGCGTGGGCGTATCTACGTATCATCTACGCTGTACAGTCTCTTTAAGATAACTATTGATGCCATGAAATAATTAATTTATTTGTTTCAAATTTTTAGATTGCACAAGACACGTGGCCGATTAGTTCTCGTCAACAACTAGTTTTTATTTCTAAATAAATCAAAGTTTAAAAATTATAGTTCAGAAAAGTTTTCTTCTATGATCCTGCTCTAAATGTTTTGTTTTTTTTTCATCAAGAAATATTAATTTGAACGAAATCAGAAATTCTACAATCTAGATGTTCTAATTGAGCAAATATATTGCGTTTATATTTGTGAGTAAATAAAAAAAAATGTAAAAATATATTTTGACATTTACATTTTTGGTCTCTACTTGCATATATCATGTACAAATGAATTACACTTTTTGACCGTGTTTTCTTGAAAATATATTTCCCTGTTTAATATATTTCCTTGTTTTTTATTCAAGATAAATTGTACAGTGAAACCCATAAAACAGTGGGTTAGGAAGACAACTGACTCAAGTCGTCTTCCTATTCTATAATAGGTTCCATTGTTAGAAAACTTTTACATTAAAAAAAAAAATTTTAAGTTACCGTAAATTTATTGAGGTTAAAATATTCCAAAATCTAAAGACATAGTTTTTGAAAAATTATTCCTGAAAGGGGACTTGAAACATTTCTTATTGTGGTTTTTTTGTCGTAAATAAATCCAAATGAGAAAAAATATTTTTTTATTCCTTAGAGTGAACATGTATAAACAAATTAGAGTAAATACAATAAAGTGCAATGTTAAGTCTCTCTACATTAACGCAAACTGATCTGTTCTCCAAGGAATAACTAAGACCATTCTTAGAAACATTACAACTTCGTGGACGAATTAAATGTCGTCATCGGTCTTTGATAGATAATCGATGATAGCTATCTAGGGAAATGAGCGATTTATCTTGGATAGCTAACTAAATATATGCGCTATCTTTCTTTGATAGCCATATAAGGACATGATAATCTTTGATAGCTATCTACTAGGATAAAAGCTATAGATTTCCTATGACATGAGCTATTGATCTTTGATAGCTTTTTAAGGATTTGAGCTACTTTCTGCGATTGCTATCTAAGGACATAAGCTATATCTTTTATTGATATCTAAGTACACGAGCTATCTATCTTTGATAGCTATCTAAAAGGAAGCGAGCTATTTTTCTTGGATAGCTATCTTAATGACATGAGCTATTATCTTTGAAAGTGATCTAAGGAGATGCAAATGAAGGATAGGTTATGATTCCTGAAACATATATAGTTTTGTCCATTATCTAAATGTAGTGAACTTTTTTGTTATTTTAAAATCAATGGGAAAAAATTAAATAAATGTTTTTCGGATAATATCAAATGTATTTTCAAATTTAAATGTATGTAGATAGAATGTTTTGTTTACGTGATTTTTAAGTGAATTTGATGTCAAATTATAATCCTGCATGTGTTCAATAAAAGTTATTATTGACCGGAATAAAAATTTTATAAAATCAAAATGTCGTAACTGCAAGCAAATTAGCTTTTTTTACTCATAGTTCAGACTTTTTCAAACAGTTCGATAACAGATGTTTAAAATCGTAACATTTTTCTCAGGGATAGCCTAATTAGATTGTTAACAGTATTATCCTTTTGCTCTCAAAGTTTCCGTTCATAATATCAATTTTATTAACGGCGTAAAAAAAAGATATTTTAGAAATCTGTACCAGTGCCAGCTGTTACGATAATTAATGTATTAATAGCCAAGTCAAATTCATTCAAGACATTCAAAAACATTCAAACACGTAAAAAAAATAAAAAAAATACTTAATTTTTATTTATGTAGGTTTTGTGCAATTTTAAGTAAAACATTTAACAAAAATGGCCGTTATTTGTAAACCGATAATTTTCAACAACGGCTATTTCAGTTAACGATACATATAAATTAACGAGTTTTGCCGTTCGTTATCGTGATGATTACAAGTCCTACACTCAGTCAATTTGCAAAACCACAAAGATCTTTATTTTCGGAAATTTGTCTAGTGCAGACTGCATATCACTCCATTACGCACCTAAAGCTCGGTTTAGGGCGAATTGGGCGGAAAATTAAAACAAGAGGAGTTATGATGTTTCTAGGTCGTACCGGCAAATTTTGCACAAATTTGATATTGTCATTGATCCTCTCAAACCATAGAATTCGATCAATGAAAGCAAAAAATCCCTTTACTTTGTAAATTATTGGTCGAATTATTTCATATTTCTATTGACAGTCAGCATTTTATTCTGACCAAAGTGTTTATGAAACTTTCGGTTAATATTCCATTTTCTTGCAATCTCTAAATGTTATCACTATATTTGTAGATATGTAATATAATTGTAAATGTTTAATTATTTATGAAATAAAATTTCAGAATTCCATGTTCATTAAAAAGATTTTTTTATTGAAATCTTTCTTACTGTGTTAAAAAAAAATTTTCTTGCTAAATTTGTTTTTGTTTGAAAGCAAATCTTACAGTTAAAAAAGAAATTAAATCTTGCAGTTTTTTCTTCATTATCTTATAAAATTTTTCTTTTTAAAAAACAAAGATTACAATTATTTTGCTTAATGTTAGGCTTCTTAAACATTTATTAACATTCAACTTACTTAAATAACGTTTAATTCAGGGCGCATCGCGCCCATCTTCCTTTTCAATTGTGAACTTTTTCACTTTGTAGAACAAGAACAAAAAAAACAAAAAAAATTCGCGAATTTTTTAAAATATAATGAAAAGCAAATTTTGTTGGAGGCTATTTTTTGAAATTTTCAATATCCGAAAACCTTCACTTTCACGCATTTTAAAAATTTTACAAAAATCATAAACTTTTGTTTACAAATTCTGAGCATCCATAAACCACTGTATTGTATACAAACAATTTACAAATGTGTACACAAGTCAGGATATTTAAATCTGACAGTTTTCAAAAATAAAATTTAAAATCTCATATTTCACCCTGATCCTGGAAGATAATCCCGACAGTTTATAGTTAAATAAAATTAGCACTAAAAATGACTATCAACAACATGCTCAAGGTTGTTAATTAAGGATGGGCTCCAATGTTTGGAAAATGTCGTCTTCATAGCAATGGACAATTGACGCTCAAAATCCTCATATGACGTAACTGATTACTGGTGGAAGATAAAGCGACACCTGACACCATTGCTGGTGAGAAGGGGGAATTGGTGAGGATTTTGAGTGTGCTATAAAGACGACATTTTCCGCTTACAAGAGCGCATCCAAAGTAAGCAACAACCCATGGTTGTGATGGCTATCCCTGTTGATCCGTTATTTAAAAATTCAATACTTTATATAAATATTGACTGAAAGGTTTTCCAAATCTCTAAAGGTTGCTTGAGCCGAGCCGGTACAACTTGTACTTTAGTGAATATGCTTTCAGTAGTAATGTCCAATCTGGGCCACCAAGTGCCAAGTCGACCCCCTACACAATAAGGGTTTCCAGTGATCGAGAACAAAATTGTTTTTTGTAATTCTCAAACTTTTTCGAAAATTTTCGCATTTTTCGTGAGCGAACGAAATGCGAAATTTCGGCGAAACAAGCGAAATTTTTACTCTGGATATTATTCATATCCAAGCAAATTCGAACTAATTCCAAATAAAATGACAGCATAACGTAATTTCAAAAAATTAGAATGCCTGATCAGGATTTAGTGACGGTTTAAAAGTCGTCACTTGCCTTTTATGTTTATTGAGAGACCCTGTATCATAAAGGTAAAATGTAAAATGTAAAATGTAAATTGACGATTACAAATTATGAGCTTCTATAGTCTTCAAAGTATTAGGATGAACTCCAGTCAAAATAAATCTAGATCTGACAACTGACCTATTTCAAGAAAATATTCATTTTTGGACCACTCCATGCGTTATTTTCCTGAGATATTCGAGGCAGTTTCTGTTTTGATGAGTACATTCTTTTTAAACAGGGTTTAAAATATTAAAATATTAATTTTTTCCTTAGACTTCGACAATTCTATATTGCATTCCTTTTTTATTGAGCATTGGCGCCTGATTGTGCTATATTGAAACGCAAAGTTAATCGTTACGTTACGTTAATCGTTCCGTTACGTTAATCGTTACGTTACGTTAATCGTTACGTTACGTTAATCGCTACGTTACGTTAATCGTTACGTTACGTTAATCGTTACGTTACGTTAATCGTTACGTTAATCGTTACGTTAATCGTTACGTTGCGTTACGTTAATCGTTACGTTACGTTAATCGTCGTTACGTTAATCGTTACGTTACGTTAATCGTTACGTTAATCGTTACGTTAATCGTTACGTTGCGTTACGTTAATCGTTACGTTACGTTAATCGTTACGTTAATCGTTACGTTAATCGTTACGCGCAAAATCAGCGCAAAGAAAAAACCTTAGCATGGAAATCCATGCATGAATCTTAATGGTACTCTTCAATCCTGATCCATTATGTAAAAGATATCGTCGGTTTTTCAACTTAAAAAGTGCTTTTCTGGAACAGAAATTTCAAGTTAGCTAGATGGAGAGCCAATTGAAAATACGACAACAATCCCTTTAATGTCGGAAGAATTTTTTAGTTTTTAGTTTTCAGCAAGAATTTTTTCAAATATTTGTAATACCTTATTTACATTTAATTAAAACATTCTATAATTTTGTTATTTCTGATCAAAAATTTTTATTTATATTGAGCACAGTACACCGTATATAAATTTTATGATAAAACCTTTAAATACAGGGTGTCCCAAAAAACATGGGAATTCAGTAACGAATTCGATATCGTCTTTGTTATGAATTAGCATTGTAATATCTAATTTCAAAAATCATAATATTATTATGTCTGCTAGAGTTTATTTTATGAAAGCGATAAATGGGTGTAAAGATGTGTTAAATGTCTCCTCAAGATGAACAGTAATTACGGACAAGTTTAATCTGTTTGTATACTGCAATTTTCTTGTTTCATTAAGTACAACCGTATGCAGTCAAAACATAAACAAACAAAATGTGAACATAGCAGACGAAACTCTTACAGATTACAGCTTTCTCAGTAGGTATCACTTTACTAAATCAAAGAATTATTTAAAAAGACGATATCGAATTCGTCACTGAATTCCCATGTTTATTGGGACACCCTGTATAAAATAAAATATTTATTAGTTTTTCTTCTACAACTATTTTTTGATATTTGCAATGAAAGCTAAACAAGTAAAACACAAAACTGCCATTTTAGTTTGTGTCAAAATAAATTTTCTTCCCTTTAGGGTTTCCACGAAATAGCTAAATCTTTTGCGCAAAATTTGCGGTATTTTCGCGCAAATTTTTTTTTGCGAACTTTTGCGCTATTTTTGCGCATGAATCGTAATGAGTTTTGCGCTATTTTTTTTGTGCAATTTGCGCAAAACCGGAAATATTTTTTGCGAAAGTTGCGCATGAAACGAAATTTTAGTTTTGCGCAATTTTTTTTGCGCAATTTGCGCAAAACCGCAAGTTTTACGCAAAATGAAACTTTTTAGGCAAATTGTCAAAAATTGCTATTCTAAGCTTAGAATTAAACAACTGAAGATTTAATCCATAGATAAAAAAATATTAACATACAAGTATGATAACGATTATACTACACTCAATTGGTTACTTCCAGTTACAAAAAGTTTAAATTAAGGGACCAAAATTAATAAAATAGAAATTAGAGAGTGAAACTTGGCAATATTTTAATCCTATTAAATAATTTCAAGTGACCCTTAAAAGCTTTGCGTAACCAAGTATGAATTATATTCTTAAATTTTTTTTAATCAAATTTCTGAAATCTTTTTAATCTCATATAAAATAATGCAATAAAGTTACCAATGCCTGAAGAATCCACTTTTAGGAAATATGCATGTCCAAAACTAAAATTGTCGAGAAAATTGTGAGATTTGAACTCTTCTTAATTGTCATTGGTCAATTATGTAAAATTGACCAATAGGAAGACATATATTCCAAAACAAGATTTTTCCAGAATTGAATTCTAAGAAACACACACCGTCACCAACCGTTTGATTTTTACGAAATTGCGGAATTGCGGATTTGCGCAAAACTCTTGTTGCGGAATTGCGCAAAACTTGAGTTTCGCAAAAGCGGAATAGGGCAATTTTGCGCGAAATGACTTTTGCGAATGATTGCGCAAATTGCTGTTTTTTCGCGCAAAAGTGATGCGTAAAGAAAGAAAAATTTTGCGTTTCGTTCCGCAAAAATTGCGCAAAAGTTTTGCGAATGGAAACCCTACTTCCCTTTAAGGGACTGTAATTTTGAGTGACCCTTCATGCAAGGATGGCAATGCCTGATTCACAACGGTAACCTTGAAATATCCATGCGCGCTTATATTTTTGAAAACAGGTTATTTTCACTACAAAAGTGGTTTGCGCATTTCAACTGCAGGAAAACACTTTAGAATTAAACACTTTTAAACCAAGAAAATCGACAATATTTTCCACATTATTGACCAGATAAATGGTTCAAGGGTATCGTTGTCAATCAAGCATTGTCATCTTTGCATGGACCAGGTCAATTTCGAAAATAATTCTTAATTTCTGAATTTTGTTTTGAATTTTAATGAAAGGATAATGTAAACTAGGTAAACAGAAAAATTCAAAAAATAAAAATAAAAATAAAAAAAGGGAAGAAAAAAATGTCAGTTCCTTCGGTCCAGTCGTTTGGCCGGCTACAAATATGAATGTCTTGTTTTATCTTATAGAAGAAGAGATAACGCATCATTATCTGTCATTTTTGGCGCTAAAGTTTTAGATTCCACTTTTTGTCGTCTTTTCAAGAAGACTTGCGGCAGTTTTAAAAAATCCTTGTCATAAAGCCGATTTTTGTTATTGACTTGATTAACTCCAGATGCACTTTTAAGAAAGAATTTAGACCTAAAATGTTTTAAATCTGTTTTTTTTTGTACATAATTAATGATAGACCATATTCTTAATGAACCATCAGAAAGATATTTGAATCATTACTTCCACGTTCGTATCTTTTAAAATCGGTGCGTTCCAACAATATTCCTTCAATCAACTTTTAAAGTACAAATCAAATTTAGGAAATCGAAAGATGTTTACCAAAAATATGCTTTAAAAAATTCGTAAATGGGATCACTATTCTTGAAGAACCCTGCATTAAATTTTTCTGAAACGATTTTACAGAAGCAAAAAAGTATTCTACCAGGAATATTAAGACATGTTTATAAAATATATTTTTCACAAAAATCAAAAATGTGCCAATTCTGTAAATTGTTTTGAACTCCGGTTTTCAAGCTTGTTCAATGGATACCCATGATTGTCAAATTTTTCATTTTCGCTACACTAGTGATTTTTTTATCATTAAACCCCATTTGAGGGGAACATTTTTAAATTTTGTGAAAAACGTATTTTATAAACATGCCTTAGAATTCCAAGTGGAATACTATTTTGCTTCTGTGAAATGATTTAAGAAAAGTTTCACTAAATTTCACACCCCTACCCTGCATGTAAGTTTTCTACTGTGAGAACCAGAAAACTCAGGACTAGGAAGACAGCTTTTGGACTCAAAGTATGCCTTTAGATGGTCCATTGAACATGAGACACAGGAATTGTGAAGTCCAGACAGACCCATACTTCAAATACACTCAATTATTGCTTTACAGGGAGTGACCGGCAATGTAAGCTAGGGAGACATTTTTTAGGATTCATTTGAGACATTTTAAACGTTTGAGCGCAAAGTCGACTTTCAAATTCATCCATTTGTGTGGTTACGTTTTGAGAGTCGTTTATTTTTAAATTATTAAATAAGAACGACAAAAATGTAAAAAAATTCTACATTAAACTGTTTAGAAATTTAAGAGCATATTTCTCAATTGAAATTTTCTCTATAAATCAATGTTAGAATCAATTATTTCTTTTTCCTCATTATATTGAATTTCTTATTCTTTAAGAATTTGTTCGCAGATTTCTTCAAATTCTTCAAATGTCGTCTTTTTAACAAAAATTGCAGGAAATTTACAGAAAATGTTTGTTTGACATTACAGCAACCAAGAACAGAATAAGATTACTTATTTTCGATGATAATGGATATTTTATATTTGCTCAACCTGTTCCTAAATAACTAATTAGTTTACGAAGAATTTTGTTACATTTTTCGCTGTCGTTATTGAATAATTTTTTAAAAACCTATTCTCAAATCATCCCTCAAAAATAAACAATCTATGAGGATTTTAAAGATTGAATTTGCGCTCTTGCTGAACAAATATGCACCATAAAAAGGTCTCAAATGATTTCTAAAAAACTTCTCCACAATACTATATTCTCAGTTCAACTACCATACAACACCGGTCACTCCCTTTAATGTCGTCTTCCTAATTCAGGGCTTTCTGGTTTTCACTGTAGGGTTGCTCTTCCATGCTTACCTCTAGAAAATATTCATTCTTTGGATCATTTATTTAATTTTTTTTAACAGATATAATTTAATACAACAAATACATATTTAAACATTTAGAGCTAATAGCAGAGATGACAAAATATTAATTTTTACCCCTAAAACCCCAAAAATATCCAATATCACTTGAAACTAGAAAGTCATAAAATTTACTTGAAAATCTCCATCCTCTGGATGATAGTTTTCGACATTAACAAATCTTTGGTCATTTCTATAATGTTACGATATTTATGTTTACATTGAGATTGTTTAATTACAATAGGAATTGATTTAAACGATAAAGTATTTATAGATATATTTATGACATTATGCCATTATTTGGGACACTTGGCAACATTTCACACAGAATTGCCTGGGGCGGCTAATATAATGCAAATTTGGCGAACAAAGTTTTAAAATCGCGAAACCTCGAGTTTCGAAGTAAACTTTACAATTTGCCGAACTGGGTTTTGACCGAAAAACTGGCAAAGTTTGAACTTCTATTTGGTTTGGTAAACAACTGAATCCATAAATCATAAAATGTTTTTATAAATGACTGAAAAATTGTAAAAGATCAGGATTAGGTGATGGATCAAAGTCTCAATGACAAGAATTTAAATAAAACTATTAGCAATATATTTAATTTGAAAAACCATGTTTAATAAATATATAAAAAATAAATATCACAGAATTAATACACAATTGGTTTTCAAAACCTATCTTTGACCTCACAAGTAGGGGTTCTCCTAAATCTTAAATAAGTTTTAAAAACGGCAAGATGGCTAAAAATGAATTTAAGGGATGGAATGGATAAGACCTTGATGTTTTGGCATACAAAAATCTAGCGCTGTGTACAGTGTACAATAACATACTAAATATGTTCTTATGTTTCATGTAAAATACGTGCATTACGCATATATTTATACAAATATATGCAAATATTTATACTATGATTTCCCATTGTTAGTGAATGACAGAAAGGAGTACGAAGGACTCAAAATCCTGCACTTTTTGATGCACACTGTTTTTTATATATGAATTCTGAATATGCCGTTAACGTAGATTTAAAAAATTAGTTCGTATTATGTACATCGTACATATTAGACACACACCAAATTAGATATAAACTAGATATATAAAGACCAAATTAGAATTAACATTGTTTACAGAATTATCGAAAATTTTGTTAGAAATACTTTTAAAATGTTTTTAAAATCTAATGTGTTAACTTCGAAGTCCTATTTTTATCTGTATCTAATATCCAGTATACATCAACATATATCCAGTATACATCATTATATATATATCCAGTATACATCATTATATATCCAATATACATCATTATATATCCAATATACATCATTATATATATCCAATATACATCATTATATATCCAATATACAGCATTATATATCCAATATACATCATTTTATATTTCCAATATACATCATTATATATCCAATATACAACATTATATATCAAATATACATCATTATATGTCCAGTACACTACAAAGTATATATCTAGTATACATCAACATATATCCAGTAAACGACATTATATATCCAATATACATCATTATATATCCAATATACATCAACATATATTCAATAACCAATATATCTTTATCCAGTATACATCAACATATATCCAGTATACATCATTATATATCCAGTATACATCAACATATATCCAATAACCAATATATTTTTATCCAGTATACATCATTATATATCCAATATACAACACTATTTATCCAATATACATCATCATATATCCAATATACATAATTATATATCCAGTCTAGTATACATCAACATATATCCAATATACATCATCATATATCGAATATCCAATATATCTTTACCCAGTTTACATCTGTCTTTATCAAAACAACCAGGATGCAAACTGTGAAGGCGCTGTTTAAAGAGAGTTGACAAAAAAGTTGGGGGAAATAATGGTTGAAATTTATTTGAATTGTGAATCGTATGGACACTTTTATTTAGAGGGTAAATCTTTCTTTAGTAATGAGTTAATGTTGCCTTTTTAAACCTTTATAACCCACAATTCTTTAAGATTTAAATCAGTTTGCTCACGGCGTATATGTTTCATAGGCTCTTATTTTAAGAAAGAAAAGGTAATAATGGCACACAGGGAATTGAAAGCGTTATATGACAATTTAGAATAAACATTTTCCGCGCTAATTTGCGAAAGATTAGAGATAAAAATTGGAAAAAAAAATGGCAATTTTCAGTCATGTAAAATTTGAGACATCGTCGAATTTTGAAGGTGAAATCAGTCCTTGTAATATTCTTTAAAATTTCATATTTAGCTGTCCTGTAATGGACTTTTGTCAAATGCAATGGAATAAAACATCTAGAGCACATATAATTAAATATATATAACAATTATGTTTGGCGAATCAAACTTTTAATTTTTGGGAAGTTTGGATCAAATTAACAACGGACGAAAAAACAAAACTGGGTTTTAGAAATCTTTTTTTAATGGCTGTAAGAAAATGTATATCATCAAATATTATGCAGAATAAATCTGTTGATAATTTATTTAAACTAAGATAAATAATTGAAGTTAAAATGAAAATGTAAAAAATGATTGTTAAAACAAACCTAGCCTGCTATGGCTTCATTGTTACTTTAACCCAAACAAACTGACTGTGGTATGAAAGAGAGAAGCTTCGAAATTTTGGTAGATTTTTTAGATTCTGTTCCCGCTTTTATCCATTGTTACAGTGTACAGTGTACAGTGTACAGCACAGTGTACAGTGTATAGTGTACAGCACGGTGTACAATGTGCAGTGTACAGCACGGATTGTTTACTCCTTTGTTTAACAGCTACCAATCTGATATAATAGAATTTCTTAGGATTCCTTTGGTATCTTCTGATGTTTACCAATTCTTGGAGTTCATCCCAACATTTTCCAATGGATATTCTTTTTACTGATTGTGGTTTTTCAAGTGGTCAAAGGAATGAATGACGTATTCCAGCCCGTTCATATAGTCCCTAAAAAATAGAATTACACTTTTCAATAAATTAAATGAAGAAAACCAGAGTCTTGAAACTGTTTGTAACTATGTACCTGTATATGTACCAGTCCCTAAGGTTTCTGTAGCTTGAATCCTCAATATCTCGAACATCTTGGCTCATTATCTCTCTCCTAATATCCTCCTCAGGTTCTACACCTCGTTCTAGCATTGCGACCTGAAGCTCACACAATACCTGAACACAATATATCAACACCTGAACACAATACTTCAACACCTTAACACAATATATCAACACCTGAACACAATACTTCAACACCTGAACACGATATATCAACACCTAAACACAATATTTCAACACCTAAACACAATATTTCAACTTCTGAAAACAATATATCAACACCTAAACACAATATATCAACACCTGAACAAAATATTTCAACACTTGAACACAATACTTCAACACCTCAACACGATATATCAACACCTAAACACAATATTTCAACACCTAAACACAATATTTCAACTTCTGAACACAATATATCAACTCCTGAACACAATATATCAACACCTTGACACAGTATATAACCACCTGAACACAATAGATAAAAATCTGAACAAAATATATCAACACCTGAATACAATATATCAACACCTGATTCCTGAATACAATATTTCAACACCTAAGCACAATATATCAACATCAAGACACAATAAATAAACACGCGAACACAATATCTTAACACCTAAACACAATATACAAACAAAATATAAACATTTGAACACCTGAACACTTTTCATATACACTTGAACAGGAGCCAAAATATTTAAAGAAAACATTAAAGTTAAAACATAATGACAAAGTCATTCTTCAGGGAGCATACAGTGGGGGCTATAAAACTATAGAGCAGGAAGAAGAAATTAATCTTATGTAAATTAGATGTTGTAAAACTAGAAAATCAACTTATTAGGGTGAAGTGAATAAATGTTCGCTGCACAATTGCAATCTTTCAGGTTCATTACGCTATTTATAATCACAACTTGATTCTAAAAGTCGTCTTTCTATTTCACAGTTTTATGGGTGTTACTGAAAAATAAAAGAAAAAGTCTTAAAAATCTTATTCTCACCGCTTTAAGCTTGTATTCAGCTTCGTTGAATTCTTGAATAAAGTCTCCATCGTAAACAGCTTGATCAAGTACAACCTTTAAACAAAAATTTAAAAAAAATGTTTTTTATTGATTTTATGCCTTTTCTTAAGTTTTTGTTGTTGTTGAGCATTTTAAAGGGACCAAACACGAAATCTCGTCATTTTTAAAATTTCAGCTTTTTTCACAAAAATAACTTACAAATTAAGATAAGTTTTTTTAAGTTTTGTCCTAAACAATGTTTTTCTTTTACCTGTTCTAGTCCGACAGCTATTTTCTGTAGATAGCTGTACATCTTGGAGAGTGCGTTCTCCATCTAAATATAAATTATCATTATTATTATTATTATCATTATCATTATTATTATTATTATTATTATTATTATTATTATTGTTATTATTATTATTATTAGGACAACTCTTCGTTCAGTGAAATATGATATACGCCGATTTTAGCATTGTTAGCAAGTTGTGACTTTCAAACACAAATTGACCATTTAAACATAAATGTTTCGCTTTTCCTTTCACATACTTTTTTCTCTGCAGTTGCATTAAAAATAAAAAAGTATTAAATAAACTGCATAAGTTTAACAATTGTTGAGTTCTAGACGAAAACACGATTAAATTTAAGTTGAAGAAACCGAACTTACGTAGTTCTAGTATCTTACATGGTGAACAATGCGATTAAAGGCAATCGAAGCGAGTTTTCAATCCTTAGAAGGAAAGGAGACATTTTGTTGTATTACGTCAATTCACATAAGAAGATTGTTTTCTTAAATCGCAGGTGTAAAATCAAAACGAATGGAGTAATTATGTCACAAAGTGAAACCAGTATAACATATAAAATAAAACTTGTCTTTGCATGTCTTTATTTAAGGTTTAAGCTCCAGTTTTGGGCTAATTATTTCTGGTTTCATTCATTCATTTGATTGATTGATGGAACATGTGTGTACCCTAAATATTGCCACACATCAAGACATTAATAGTTAATTATAAATATCCACGACAAGGAAATACCCAGACTTTTTAATAATTAAATAAACCTCATTTTTACAAATAAATTAGTTCTAATAAATATATCGGCACATTTTTGAAAATTTGATTATTTCAATTTGAAAGAATTTGAGACAGCTCTAGACGACTAATTGTATGTTTTGTAAATAATTACAGGAGATTATCTATTATGTTTTGCTTTAATAAAGTCGACTTTATAGTCCCTGGTATTACGCAGTCATTCTAAACCAATATGGCGGAGAATCAAAATGATTGGCGGCATTTTGGCGGCCATTGCAAACCATGCAGAATATGCCCCCTCCCTTCCACCCGCAAATTTTTTTATAGTTTGAGCTGCATCAAAACTCAAGCTGTTAGAACTTAAGTTTTTTAAATCCCTAACTTGGTGTTTAGAGGCTCCAGAGTCGGGAGAATACTAGGAACGTATTCGATGAATCGGTGAAGAATGAGAATTGCAAATCGATTTTTTCGATGCAGCAAATAGATTTATACAACTATTCACAGTACAGTTTATATGGTCTGCGAACAATTTACAATCTTGATGTACACGAGCATATTGTTCAAAATGTTGCGGATTTTCAAGAAATGTCGTCTTACCCGGATTTCCTGCAAGTGCGCCGCGTCCAGTTTTTCGTTCAGGTGTTTGGGAATCTGGTGCCACGAGGGTAGCCAGTGTAGCCTAATTAAAATATATTAAATTTAGATTTTTCCCAATTAAACTTTAATTAAAATTTAAACTTTCAAAGCATTTTGGGACTTTCTTGTAAAGAAAATAAACTCTCACCAGAAAATCCCATTTTATAATCTCTATATTTTTTAAATCTGATCTATATTTATATAAAATACTTTGCTTGTCTTTCTGTCTGTTCTTCTGTTTGCTTGTGTCCAATAAACGTTAAAACGGCTAAACCGATCGATCCTAAAGTTTGTGTGGGACCTCACATAACCCCAAGGAAGGTTTATATGGATGCTCAAACACAAAAATTATGATTGAATCCGCGAACTTTTTTTGATATTTTTTATATTGTACAAATAGAAGATGCTCACGTACTTAGATAGAGCCACAATCTATAGTTAAAATAAGAAATTTGCGTGAAGCGCCTTAAAAGCTTTGTTCTTTCAATATTTATGAAGCTCCCTGTAAAACTTTCTTTAATTTATGTACCTTTGATCCTTCCAGGTTTGATGATGATCCTGCCATGATGGAGCAGAAAAAGTTCGCCGGACCTCAAATTTAAAATAATTTTCATTATTTTTATCAATTTTTATAAATTTTTCAATCCTTCTTAAAATGCATGAAATGCGACAGTCATTAAAAAACAGGAAATCCAAGACAAAGAAAATTATCAAAATATATCTAATTGACAAATTTTTAAATTTTATCTATGGACACTATAAAATCAAATGAATTCGATGTACTTCTAAGCTATCAGTACTTTTACACATGAACTATGAAGAGAAGGTCTATAGTCTGTTTTAATAACCATGGTGAGGCTGTAAAGACGACCTAAAACTCTTAAAATACGACGATCTCAAGGTTAAATTAAATTTTCTACCTTGAATAATATATAGTATTTAAATATCTTAATTTATGATTTAGCAATGAAAAAAACAAGTTTACAGTTACAGGGAATCATAAATGCAAGCAAACGGACTAAAAAGATGCCTTATAATCGTCTCATCCTTTGCGGGTACCCCTGTATACCCAGCTTGTCAAAATATATGTTATATGTTCCAGTAGTTTACTTTTTAATGTTTTAACGTAAATGGATTCCTGGATATCACACAGTGAGGGGTCCCTTTTCGCGGATATTGCAAAAATAAAAGCGCAAATCTGACATAAACGCGCGAATTTAAAACAATTCCGGGAATGCACAAAACGGCGCGAGATAGTTAAACATATTTAAATACAGCAGGTTTACATGGAAACTCTTGAAAGACGGTCTACGTAATGTCTTTTACAGATTCAGACATCAGATTAAGACGACAGGAAGATAGATAAAGACGGATTACAAATGAAAGACATATGCAATTTTGTCTTTGATTCTATGACAGATAAACAGACAATATATCTGTCTGTGTAAAGTTGAGATGAAAGACAACAGAAAGATAAAGACGGTGTTTAGCACAAATTGATAGATGAAGGGATTCTTGCTAAAGATTCCAAACTCTATAAATTATCAAGATTTTTGAAAATTTAGTGCATTTTATCAAGAATACATCGTCCTGTCGGGTCAAAATATATACAATATTAGGCCTAGTGCATCATTATTGTATCATTTTACCTAATGTTTTACGAAATAAATTTATAATCATAAAGAAGTTTTGAATAACATTAGAGTTTCAGTTTTTCGTTCATATTTAAAAATTTGGTATTGCGTATTATAGTGATTGGCAAAACTCTAATTCTCTTTACTTGAAACCAGATGTTGATAACAAATAATAACTTCTGCTAAGTCAAATATTTTGATGAAAGTTTTTAGATCCTTTGAATCATTTTTAACATAACAAGTGAATAATTGATTATCGTAAAACACCATGGGTATATTGAATATTGCAGGCAAATGTCAATAATATGTTGATTTGAATATTTTATTATATTTATTAAATCACAAAAGCCATTATTCACGTGAAAACATGAAATTCAAGCAGTTAAAAAAAATATATCTTTTATTGAAATATGATCTTAGCTTTTACTTTCAATTGCCTAAAAGACTTGTGACGTAGAAACCCGTGCATAAACTTCTATATGTTTGATTATTAAGCATTGACGGGATTCAAGTTAGAAACGATTGTTGATTTAAATTGTGTTAAATATACAAAATAACCTACATTATGTATATTTCTGAAATAAATTCTTGAATCTTGATCCGCAATTATAATATACACTTTATAATATTAAAAATATAATCTAAATCTTATTTTTGGTTTCAAATACTACGTTTTCCATGTTTTTTCAAGTTTTCTTTAATAAATCTCTTGAATGTAAAAATTTGTATGGAAACGTCATAATTTCGAAGTTAATCTTAACTTAAACTTCAGTTCTCCATTTAGGACAATTGTATTATTTTTTTTCTGTCTTTTATGAAAATTTTGAGTGTAATTAAAAATACAAACAAAAAAATTACTCTCAAAATTTTTATAAAAGACAGAAATAATATGTAAATCCCAAATTTGCATTCATCACCGATACAACCATACTGCATTCATCACCGATACAACCATACTGCATTCATCACCGATACAACCATACTGCATTCATCACCGATACTACCATACTGCATTCATCACCGACAGTTAAGTAAAAAAAACATAAAAATATAAATTGTAGAGAACAACTCTTTAGAGAATAAAATAAATGTCCGTCGTGTAGGAACAATTATTATCAAATGTCGTCATTATTATATAAAAAACAGTTTCTTTTTCCTTCAAAAATTTCAAACTTAGATTATTTTGTCTAACACAATTTATAGTTTGCAATATCTAAGGTTTACAACATCAAGTTGCAAAGATATATTTAGAGATAAGAACATCAGAGTTTGTGGCAAAGACTCAATTTCATGAAATTACCAAAAAGACGATTTATTTGGTTTGAAATGGCTGAAACGCTAAGAGAAGTGTTATAAAACAGGATTTACATTTACAGCATGATTAGCAGATATAACTCTATACAAGATGTTGAAATATATTCAACAACAGTATATTTGTATACAGGGTGGTCAATAAACATACCACTGCGGTTTAAAGGGACTGTCAGCCAAGCGAACCACCCTGCAAAGATGGCGCAATGCCCGATTTACAACGGTACCCTTAAACACTTGGTCTGCTTTAGTTTATTTATACGGTTTATTTTCTTTTTGAACCACAAAAAACGACGTTATCTTCCACATTTTTTATCAGTTCAAGGTTTCAAGGGTACCGTTGTAAATCTTGCCATCTTTGCTTGAAGGGCTTGTTGAAATTACGCTTACAGTCCCTTTAAGATAGCAAAATAAATAGCATAGACTTCAGTGTGTAGGAAGTAACTAAATCTGAAACATGACTATTTACTTCACTAAAAATAAACACGAAAGAAAAATAAAAGAATTTTATCAAGAATTGTACTTTTGAAAATTAAAAGAAAACTTTTTTTAATTTCAAAATTGCGGGGTTTTTATTTTAGTTTTCAATAGATTCAATTGAAAAAAACAATTCTAAAACTTTTTTAACTTAAAAAAATATATATCAAAAATCCTTAAATTAATTTTTAGAAAGCATGGACTTTTTCTTTTTATTTTGGACGTTTTAATGATTTCGTGAAAAATGAAGAAAAATAACGTATCGTGTGTTGGAGAAACTAATTAACAGCAAAAAGTGTATTTAAATAGATTTGCATTTATTAATATAAAAGGTGAGGTTTAAATTCCGTCTTGCTAGTTGCATATTTTTCTTATCCTTTAAAGGGTGCGATAAGTTATTCTGACAAAAGAATTGAGTCTTTTCCACAAACTCAAATTTTCTAATCCCTATGTTTTTGCACCCTGATAGCGCAATTTTTTAAATATTTTAAACTTAAATTATTTCATCTAACATTGTTATTAGTTAAAAAGTAGTTTTAAATATTGCAAATTTTGGATACCTCGCCCTGCAAATGCGCTATTTTAGAATAACATTTTTTTGGGACACCACCGGCGGAGAATCCACTTTTTATTTTATGTCTCACGCTTACTTAAACTTACAAGGTATGTTAACATACATCATCTCTAAGTTAGAAATTGGAATAAATCTTTATCTGCACTTATTCAAATTTCTTGATAAGAAACTTCATGACGCGAATGACTTACTTACAAATTTGACGTCATGTACAAATATATATGTGACGTCACACAGCTTAGGTCACAATAAATGTATATATGTGACGTAGAGCGCAAATATTTGAAAATGTCTAAACCACAAAATAAACATAAAAAGATCTACAGATCCACCCACAAAACATAAGTCATTAAGATTAAGTAAGAATTAATTAGGTGCAATACTGTAGATTTAATTAATTGTTCCTAGATGACACGTAAATGTTGTATTGTTTGCACTAATTGGAAGTATGTTACATTAAATATTAATATATTTGCGATGAAAAGCTTAAGATTTAATATTGTGCAATCGATTTAAAATTTTCATAGAGATTGCCAAATATTGAAATATTTTTTCTTTGTGGTGATTTCAATTCCTCCCCCCCCCTTGTTTTCTCCGAAAACAACTATATTTTGAATGAGCCGCGTGGTAACTTTAACGCTTACCAAGAAAACAACAGCGTAGTAATTATATTCTTAATCCGGGAAATTGTTGCAAAGATTTCGGGGATTTTGAGGATTTTACAGATTTATAATTAGCGGATTATTTAACGTATACATTATTTTTCAGATGATAAATCAAGATTAAAAGATTAAATATTGAATGGGGGGGGGATTACTAATAAATGAAAAGCTGAAAATGTCAATATAATTGCTGGGGTTAACTTGAAATAATTGTCTTTAGCCAAAGCACGCCCCCCCTCCCCACGCCTACACAAAGTTTATGAGCTGGTTAAGCTGGGAATCCCCGATATTCAGGATCAATTCCTGATATTACATGAATATTAACAGGGTTACCCACAAGAGATGAGACTTCAGAGACGACTGTACGGAATTTAAACTGTCTGTATCTTTAAATTAATGATCCCGGCCCTTTCAACTGTAAATTTTCTACTTACTTTGTTAAATCACTAATTTAATTAAACATTAGAAGATTATATGTACAGGCAGAGACTTAATTAAACCATTATATGAGTTTCAGGTCGTCTTTATAGTATCATCCTTTGTGGATAACCCTGTACGTACAGTTTTCCCAGAAACACGACATTTTAAAGACGACGATGCATTATGTTTATAAAATACTCATCATAACTCCTATCTATGATTTAATCGTTTGTAAAGAATTTCCTAATAATTCTGCTTCACAAACAAGTTTCATGAAAGTTCAAAAAAAGTAAAACTTTGAATATTTCTTAAATTTCTACTTAATTGAAAATTTTAAATCCCATTCATAAGACTACATTTTTTGAGCCGATTTTAATTTTTTTATCACTTAAATGTTTAAACTTAAGAAGTTCTCAAGGATAAATTATTTGGAATTTTCTCTTTGATTTGGTTCAGCCTTTTCTGATCGAATGTTGAGTTTGAAAAACGTGGATTTAAATATGTATTGAATATAGATATATAGAAGCTGACGTGTAAATTATCTACCAAGTCTTGCTAAATCAAGGGGGTTCCAGTTGCCTGACAAATAGGTTCAAGCCAAGGAGGTGGCAATTTTAATATTTTTCGAACTAAAAAATATTGCAAATATAATTTTGATGTTAAACTTCAAATTTACAATAAAAAAATGCTGGTGTAACCAAAATACAAAATTTGTAATTTCATTGATGAATATTATAGTTGCAATCGCCCTGAATTGTATAAAATGATAAAGGTTGGAAAAAAATTACGATGGTTAGCCGCCGATTTGCAGAGATAAAGTTAAAAGTGGGAAAAAGAGAGGGAACCTGTTACTTTAGCACAACATAGGGACGCCATAGAACTTTTTGAGACGAATGATCCCTGTAAAGGCGCGTCTGTGTGAACTAAATATAACCCAAGACCTTTCACCGCGCATATTAAGAGCTATGTGGGGCGCTTACGGAGCACGGATGTATGAATGAGAAAGAAGAATGTCGGTGTATTCATTCCATCCATTCATTCTATAATGAGGGGAAAGGTTCTGTGAAAATCGGAAGTATTGCCCTCAAGGCAGCACGGCTAGACAGTATGTTTCAGTAACTTTAACGCCCGCGTGAAAACATTCCAAGAGAAATCATGTGACCTTTGTACTTAATCCTTTTACAATTATAAGATTTTTTAACTTAAACCCTCATGGATATAACCATAAATTTGTGTGCTTAAAAATTGAATGTTTAGCTGGTTACAATTGAAATATATGTTAAAAACGAGGTGTCACGTTTTCTTCGACACCCAGTATGGGAATCCGGGCCTATACACTTAACCTTTGCATGATTCATAGTTCCAACTACGACAATATGTTACGTTAATTACAAACAATCATTTTATTCGCACTTGCACTACATGTATAAAAATGAAGAAAATGGACTTGTACTGCATGTACTGCATAAATAAAAATGAAGAAAACGGACTTGTACTGCATGTGCTGTATGTATAAAAATGAAGGAAATGTACTTGACTTGTTCTGCATGTACTGCATGTATAAAAATGAAGAAAATGGACTTGTACTGCAAGTCCTGTATGTATAAAAATAAAGAAAATGGACTTGACTTGTTCTGCATGTACTGCATGTATAAAAATGAAGAATATGGACTTGACTTATTCTGCATGTACTGCATGTATAAAAATGAAGAAAATGGATTAGATTGTACTGCATATGTGAAAATGAAGAAAATGGACTTGTACTGCATGTACTGTATGTATAAAAATCAAGAAAATGTACTTGACTTGTTCTGCATTTACTGCATGTATAAAAATAAAGAAAATGGACTTGTACTGCATGTACTGCATGTATAAAAATGAAGAAAATGGACTTGTACTGCATGTACTGAATGTATAAAAATGAAGAAAATGGACTTGTACTGCATGTAGTATGTATAAAAATGAAGGAAATGTACTTGACTTGTTCTGCATGTACTGCATGTATAAAAATGAAGAAAATGGACTTGTACTGCATGTACTGAATGTATAAAAATGAAGAAAATGGACTTGTACTGCATGTATTGCATGTATAAAAATGAAAAAAATGGACCTGCACTGCATGTACTGCATCTATAAAAATGAAGAAAATGGACCTGTACTGCATGTACTGCATGTATAAAAATGAAGAAAATGGACTTGTACTGCATTTACTGTATGTATAAAAATGAAGAAAATGGACTTGACTTGTTCTGCATGTACTGCATGTATAAAAATGAAGAAAATGGACTTGACTTGTTCTGCATGTACTGCATGTATAAAAATGAAGAAAATGGACTTGACTTGTACTGCATGTACTGCATGTATAAAANTGGAGCGTATGAACACTACTAAAGGCAGTATTAAAACACTGCTGGCATTAAAGGGACTGTAAGCGGAATTTCAAGTGACCCTTTGTGCTAAAATGACAATGCTCGATTCACAACGGTACCCTTGAAACCTTTATCTGATCAATAAAGTGGAAGAAATTGTCAAAATGAGTGAAATCTGGATTAGTATACTGGGATAACATGAGGACTGGGGATGGAATAAGGACAAGGGTTGGATGAGAACTATGGGTAGGACGAGAAGCTGAGAAACTGTCGGATGATGATAAAGATTAAATTGATATGCACTAAATTAAGGCTTCTGGAAGTTAGAAGGGTTAGCGAAGATTGCGCTCGGGTCAAGTAAATCCAATTTTCTGCAAAAATCAGGCTATTTTTAGCATGAACTAATTCAACCCATAGGGCAGATTCTCAAGCTACCGTGATCTACCATTTTCATTTTCAGGCCACTTCAGTAAGGATTTGGCGCGAAATTTAGGGTCAGGAAATCCGCGGAAATATGCGAATGCGAGAGAGGGAAAGAAAGTGGGGGGGGGGAGAGGGAGCCGGCAACTAAAATGTTTATGCTTGTAAAAACTAAATTAAGGCTGAAACAGTTAGAAGTTTATTTATTTTTAATTTTTGACTCTATTATGCGAATAATGATTTTAACACTGAAAAAAAACTACCGCCATAATTCTGTCTGTAGTAAATGCATTTCGTATTTTTTAGCTCTAAAAGTAAATTGAAGTGAAGGCCCACACTGTTAAGGGAAATAAAGATATTCAGCTTCTGAAATATTAGGATTAAAAATAGGAGGAGCTAGGGGGGGGGGGGGAGTGCGTATTTTAATCCTTTAGTTTAGACTTTACAAATAGACTTTTGGACTTTACAATTGACTTACGAAGATCAATAAAGCTGGAGAATATTAGGTCTATGCAGTGCATATATACAGGCCTACTGCATAGTCGGCCTTAATATCCTCAAGCAATGGATAATTTGCAGGAGGAATGGAGGTAAATTCAAATTTTTCATGAATTTGAAATATCCTTCATAAAACGAAATTCTTAAAGAAATTAAAGACGGTACAGAATAAGCAAAAATGAATTGTCTGAATTAAAAAATGCGTAAAAATACTCATTTACTCAAAATATACAGCAGTCGGGGCTTTAAATATTGAATTTAATTAAATTGCAATAGAAATAATAATGTTTTAGGATCAAATTAATAAATTAATATAATGCTTAAAGATTTCCGCTATCTTTGAAGTTGCAATTTTTTATTATTATTTTGCCAAGCTTTCAAGCTAATGTTTGTACTGCATAAACTAATAATGTACTTTCAAGCTAACGTTTGTACTGGATAAACTTATAATGTACTTTCAAGCTAATGTTTGTACTGCATTAACTAATAATGTACTTTCAAGCTAATGTTTGTACTGGATAAACTAATAATGTACTTTAAATTTAATTAACAGCATTTCCTGAAAGGTACTGTAGGCATAATTTCAAGTTACCCTCCACGCGCGAGGAGAATTTCTAAGAACTGAAAATGTACTGTGTGTACTCAAAGAACTGAAAATTTACTATGCGTACTCTAAAAAATGAAAGCGCACTATGTGTACTTTAAGAACTGAAAATTTACTATATGTACTCTACAAAACAAAAAATTTACTACTTGTACTCTAAGAACTGAAATGTACTATGTGTACTTTAAGAACTAAAAATGAACTATGTGTATTCTACAAAATGAAAATGTAATATACGTGTACTCTAAGAACTGAAATGTACTATGTGTACTCTAAGAATTGAAATGTACTGTGGACTTTAAGCACTAAAAATTTACTTTATGTACTCTAAAAACTAAAAATGTGCTATGTGTACTCTAAAAACTGAAAAATGTACTCACAAATTTCTCCTTGAAAGCGTCTGAGTGAATGAGAGCGTTACGAGCAGCCAAGATTACATTCTGCATGAGCTCGCGGTCAGACAGAGGAATAGCTTCATGATACGCCTAATCAAAGCAAGTTTTAAATGTCGTATTTCCGGCTCAGATTTTTTTAATACCAACGGTCTATATTTGAAACGTTTACATTTATAAAACATTTTTATTTTACTTCAATATTTTTTTGTTATTAATAAATTTTTCCTGTATTTTCTCAATTAAATTTTTATATTAGCCTTTATACACAATTTTTTTATGATGATTTTTATCTTTTTTTATACTTTCTACTAGACAACTTGTATTTTGTGTACCTGCAGAGCATGGGTCTTGAACAGTTGTGGATTTATGCCGCAGGGGTTCACCCATTTTGGTTTAGGTCCGCGTCGGTTCCTTCTCCTATTATAAATAACAAATACAGTCGTCTTCGGATATATCAATACAATAAATACGACTTTTGATTTCCATTGTGATTTCTACCAAGCTTTCAAACAGCATGGATACGAAGAAATATCTGTCCATTGACAGCTTCTCTTTGTTTGATCTTGTCATTTGAAAAAGCTAGTTGAAAAAAACTCAAGTAGAAATGTCGTCTTCATTGTATCAATATAAACGCCGACCACTGTATCAAAAATTTGTTTATTCTAAACAAGTTAAAAATTTAAAGTTATTGACGTAAGAATAGTTTTGGTTTAGAATGTGGATATGTTTGATATTATTGCTGAGGGGGACCTATACAAGTATGGAATAGGAAGGAGACATATTAGCGAATAGATTTAAAATCAACTTTGAAATGGATCTGCATGTTTTTCATGTTCTAAGCTATCGTCTTCACATTCAACAGTTTTATGTGTCCTACTGTTACTATTATTTTGTTATTATGTGAACCCACATTTTTAGAACTATCTGAGGATGTGTGGGGGGGGGGGCATTCAATACCCTAGTTAGCGACGAAGTGTCTACCAGAATGTCTTATAAACTTTTATATATGCAGAACATATTTTACACCCTGTACTTAAGGGCTGTAAATAATTTTACAGGGTGTAACAGGAGACTAAATAAGGTTGGGGACTAGGAAAATTTACAGGGTGTAACTAGATACTAAATAAGGTTGGGGGACTAGGAAAGTTTACAGGGTGTAACAGGATACTAAATAAGGTTTCGGGACTAGGAAAGTTTACAGGGTGTAACTGGATACTAAATAAGGTTGGGGGACTAGGAGAGTATACAGGATGTAACTGGATACTAAATAAGGTTGGGGGACTAGGAATGTTTACAGGGTGTAACTGGATACTAAAAAAGGTTGGGGGACTAGGAAAATTACAGGGTGTAACAGGATACTAAATAAGGTTGGGGAACTAGGAAAGTTTACAGGGTGTAACAGGATACTAAAACAGGTTGGGGGACTAGGAAAGTATACAGGGTGTATAACAGGAACCTAAAGTAAACAAATACAAATATTATTCTATAGTAGGACCCAAAATACTGTGGATTAGGAAGACGACTTAATAATATCACGAAACAAATAGTTTTACCAGCGTGATTTTTAGTAAAATGGGTCTGTGCACAATAAAAGACGTTTTATAATTATAACTTTCTTTTGATCTTCCTGTTCTACAAGGTTCTGTGTCCCCTGTAGTTATAAAAAAACAAGCAATCAAAAAAGTCATATTCAAGATAGCAAAAAAGACGTACGGTAATCTTACTTTTGATATTAAATTATATAATTAAATTTGATATAAAAATATAGCTTACTTTGGAGACATTGGTTTGGCTGTAACTGTATCCATGGATACAAGAACTATAAGTAGGATGGATACAACTTTCAGATGGGTTTCTTTTCCTCCTCCTGAAAAATATACACATTAATACATTTATGCACATATATGTACACTGAGAACCAGAGTAAAACGGAATAAAAATAGTCTTTTTTAATTCTTTTATTTACCTACAATTTTCAAATTCAAAACTGTTATGCTTTAAAAATCCCTAATTTCGTTGAGAAGCCAATTCTTTTTTGAAAATAGCACTAATCTTTAACGTTGATCTCGATATCCACTGTGAACACTTCTAAACTTTAAATAATGTGCTTAAACCTTCAATTTTAGTTTCATCTCTGCCATGTAGTCTGACCACGGATTATTCAAGAGTTTGAAAACCTACGCACAACGAAAAATACTGAATAACTGCTTTATCCAGGGATTCAAACTAAAAATATTCGACCTCAGGGATCACTTCTAGAGTTGAAAACTATTAAAATCCTACTCTTGAGTTTTCTCTACTTTCTTTCTTTCTCCTTCAGTTTTATATTTAATGCCAGAAAGTAGATTTATTAGAAATTAAAAACATGTTTGGGGTTCTCCATGAGCTTTACAATGAGAGAATCAATTTTTATTTCCAAACAACGTGCAATTTTCTTTAGTTCAACGTGGTATAGATTTGACAGATAGAGGAATACCCACAAACTATGAGACTGTAAGACGACCCAAAACTCTAAAAATATGACGATTTAGAGCTTTATTTTTAGATTCTAAATTCAATTGAGTATTTTAATGGTTTACTTAACGATCAAGCACAGTTTTATGCCAGTATTGGCCTCCAAGGAACCTTCAATGCAAGAAAACGGACAAAACAAATTTCGTACAATCGTCTCTGAAGTCTCATCCTTTGTGGATAACCCTGTATATGGAAGCATGAATGTGATGGATTAAAATTACTGAATTTATGAATAAATTGATGAATTTACAAAAATATTGAATTTAACATTTAAAATTTCCCCGTTATATAAAAGATCCGAGTCCGACCACTTTTTGTTTGAATCAGATCTGTATTATTACTGATAGCCAATAATTGTACAAATACACTAGAGGTACTTAGATAGATAGATAGGTGGGTAGACAGACGGATATATAGATAGATTGATCATGGAAAGATAGATAGATAGATGGACGCTACACGAAACCTGTATGCAAACCTAACTACCCAAACCAAACCAAACTTATTTAAACCAAAACAAACTTATTTGAACCAAACCATACTTATTTAAACCAAAACAAACTTATTTGAACCAAACCAATCTTATTTAAACCAAACCAAACTCAAGCACAGCCAACCCAACTTAGACAAACCAAACCAGCTCATTTAACTCAAGCCAAACTTATATAAACGCAATCAGAAAACCCCAAACTAAAACTTGAACCAATAAAATAAACTCCTAAGGCTGAATTATACAAAACTTGCAATGATAATTTTATTATTACTAAAATGAAAGAAAATTAAAAAATTTTAAAATTATATATTTTTTAATTGTAAGAATTGATTTTAAATGATTGTTTACCATTATGCCAAAAGTTTAAAATGACCTAGTTTTAGGACAATCACACCCCCTATCCTTATACTTTTAAGGCTTTTAAGGTACAGTCCTATTCTCAAATTACAGAGATAAAGCAAAATACATTTTTAAAACTTTTAAATAATAACAATAATAATAATAATAAATCATCGAAAAGTTGGTAAAGTGATAAATATTTGAAGAATGATTATTAAATATATTTTGTGAGATTATATCAAGTACATCTGTAGATTCTAAGTAGAGAACCCTATTCTTGAAACAGACAGACGAAATATTAAGACACCGATGCCAGCTCATATTTCAATGTTCGGATATGCATGTATCTATAATAATGTGTAAACATCGAGCATCCCCCCTGAAACCCAAAGCGTGCCTCACAATTCTCGCCATTCAACGATCCAACAAGTTTAAACTTGACGGAAATTCCAAAGTTGTGGTAGGACTTAGGAGGAGGGGGAGCCACACCCCACAAAATGGGGGTCTACCCCTCCCCCCCCCAGATAAATGTCCTTGGGATATTTAAGCAATGGTAGATCTTTGATATTGTTAATAAGTGTTAATTATTTAGAATTGTTTTCAGTAATTAAGTAATTTTTCCCCCCAAGGAATTGAGGCTTTGTCACAAACTCTGATATACTAATCTCTTTATCTTTGCAACCCAAGGTCGTAGAAATTGGACATTTCAATCGTTAGATCAAATAATCTAAGTTTGAAATATTAAAGGTTTACATCATAAAATTGAAAAGATATAGGGATTAGTTCTTTGATTTACGACAAAAGTAAATTGAGGCTTTTTAATAATTTTTTCTTTGACTATTTTCAATTAATTTCAGAGCAAATGTTGTAAAGAGCTATATCTTTCATAGGGTGTAGAGCATGTGTTGATAGAGCAACTGGAGCAAATGAATAATGATCATAAAAAGAAAAAAAAGGAAAAATTAAACAGCTAATTTACCAAAAAATGTCAATTAAACTTAATTTACTAAATCAGTGAATCTAAGAAAAATAAAAGTTGAATTATATTTAAAAAGGAAACCTGTTAAAATTAAATTAATATTTTAATTATTAAAGAACGAAATGTAAAATGATTAATTAATATTATTCTAAATATTAAATTAAATAAGATATTGTCGAATTTTATCAAAATCATGCTTAGGAGGCATAAATTGCCTTAAAGACACGTTACTAAAGTAATGTAGAGAGTCCGCGGCGGCAGCTTTAGATTTAGGGGGGCAGGGTATCTAGGGAGTAGGGAGGAGGGTGAGGTTATTTAGGGAGTATAGAGCTGGGAGTAGGGAGTAGGGAGTATAGAGCTGGCATTAGGGAGTAGGGAGTAGGGAGTAGGGAGTAGGGAGTAGGGGGTAGGGAGTAGGGAGTAGGAAGTAGGGAGTAAGGATTACGGAGTAAGGAGTAAGGAGTAGGGAGTAAGGGAGTAGGGAGTAGGGAGCAGAGAGTATAATGGGAAGTGTTCTGCATTTCTAAAAATTGAAAAATTGACTGTATTAAGTTAGCTTAATAGAATGATATAATGAAAAAACCATAGAGAATAGAATATATAGAGAGGAATTAAAAGAATCTCTCGGTATGAATTTGTTCAGTCCCTTTCAGCCTAAAAGGGAGTTCAAAGTGTACAAATCATGTAAATGTTCACAAATTATATGCAGTAGAGTACATTAATACAGTATGTTCCCTAGAATATTCATTTCAATTTCGAATTTTTTAAACTGATAAATAAACTTTATAATAAATTAGGTGAATAAAAACATCATTTGATTTATTGTTATAACGGAAAATCATCGTTTGTAAAGTGAAAGGCATAGAGTCTATGTGAAATGATCATTGGTCAATTATGAAACCAGCCTATTTCATAATTTGGTTTTCTTTTAGCAATAATTTTAGATTTTCTATAAAATGATGTTCCAGGGCCCAACAGGTTATATAGCATAAATATGTGAAGTACACGTGCAGTATGGAAACAGTACAACAAAATGGCCGTTTTACACTTTTTTCTAGTAAATTCCTCTCTATATATTGTATTCTCTATGGAAAAAAACTAATTAGAGGTGAATAAAAACTAAGTTATCAATTGCTGTCTAAGTCTTAAACAAGTCTCATTGATCTGTGGAATCTGTGATATATGTTTATTTCACCACATTTGCGTAAGTATGTGACGCATATCACACGTGGCTTACACATATACGATATTACGCAATCCCCACCTGTACGTACGCCATGACGCAATGAACCTGTGAATCATGATCTTCAAAATAAACAAGTGTAACAAATATATTTCTCAAGGATTAGAACCAAGAAACATTGAATCAGAGGCTGCTCACCTGGAACCAAGAAACTTGTTGAAGGAAAAGAAATGAAGAACAAAAATCTCAATTTTTTGAATTTGACAAAAGGAAAATGAGAATTAAACATAGAAATTAACTAGGAACAAGAAACCAAGAACCCGGAACTAGAAACCAGGAACTAGGGCCCAGGACCCAGGAACCAGGAACTAGGAACCAGGAACTAGGAACCAGGAACTAGGAACCAGGAACTAGGAACCAGGAACTAGGAACCAGAACTAGGAACCAGGAACTAGGAACCAGGAACTAGGAACTAGGAACTAGGAACTAGGACCAAGGACCCAGAAACCAGGAACTAGAAACTAGGAACCAGGAACTAGAAACTAGGAACTAGGACCAAGAACCAGAAACCAGGAACCAGGAATCAGAAACCAGGAACTAGGAACCAGGAACCAGCAAGCCTATGAACCAGGAACCAATAAAGAGTAAAAAGCCGCGGAATAGGAAAAAGAAAAAGAGAAAAATGCAAACTTGTAAAATTCATAAAATTGAAATCTCAAGTGCTCTCAATCTCTAGAAAGAAATTTTCAGCGCTCTCTTTAACACCATGGTTGAGAAGCAACTATATTTACTAAACATTGCGTGCTAAATCTGAGGATTAATATTATTATTCTTTACTCCATACTGGCAGATCCATTGCTCTGCTAAACCTAGTGGTCTGAGGAGCTATGAAGGGACCTTAATCTATTATTTAAACACATTTTATCATCATTATTACAATTTTATTATTCGACTGTGGTAGAAGTGTCTAAATTCTCTTTAATCGCTAAAATCGAAATGTCTCAATAAAAAATTATATCATGTTTTTGGGGCCTTTCTTGTTTTATTTCTAAGAATCATTTCTGTAACAGTTGTAACATGAGATATTTAAAGCTATATCATTTTTTTTTGCTAAATACTAAGTGTCTAAATTTCCAGGCCATCCTTGATATCAAATATATATATCTTTAAAACATTGACGTTCAGAAATAAAATGAAAATATTTTCTAAAACTGAAACATGATTTTAGAAACAATTTTTTTAAAAGTTACCCATGCTCTGTTTTGTAATCGAATGTAAGTTGCATTTTCTGCGAAAGATTTGGATTACAAATTTACAGTTAGGTTGTGCGTTTTTATATCAGTTTTTAAACACAGAACCATTTCGATGAAAACCGTTTTTTAGGTATTCCCCCCCCCCCCCCCNCAAAATAAAATTAGGGGGGGGGTCAGATGCTAAATCGCCCCTCCCTGAGACGACCCCCAGTGCAGGGTGAGGATGAAATAACCAGTAAGAATTAAAATTTTACAATCAAAAGTTCAATAAAACAGCCGTTTTATGAAAAATAATTTAACTTATTTTTCGCAAATTTAGCACACGAAGTGAGAGAGAGGGGAAGCATGGTTCAAATTTATTTTAAATCTTCAAATATTTTATTTTACTCCCCCCTCCCCCTCCCCTCCAACCATCTGCATATTCATTGAAAAGAGGGTTGGAATATAGGGTCAAGAGAGAAAAGATAAATTGAAACAATGAAAAAGAGAAAAAGATGTCGGATAGAAAGATATTTTATCTGGGAAGTGAAATCAGAGATATGGAGAGATATTAGAGAAAAGATATCGGATAGATGGATATTTTATCTGGTAAGTGAAATCAGAGATATGGAGATATATTAGAGAAAAGATATCAGATAGATAGATATTTTATCTGGTAAGTGAAATCAGAGATATGTAGATATATTAGAGAAAAGATATCGGATAGATAGATATTTTATCTGGTAAGTGAAATCAGAGAATCAGACAAGAAAACTTTAGGTATCTGTAGAATAGAAAATGAAATTATAAATAAAAATCAATGATATAAGAAAATGGCGGAGAAAAAGGGAAAAACATACCAAAGAACAGACCAAAAATAGAAAATAAAATTATAAATAAAAATCAATGATATAAGAAAATGGCAGAGAAAAAAGGAAAAACATACCAAAGAACAGACCAAAAATGGAAAATAAAATTATAAATAAAAATCAATGATATAAGAAAATGGCGGAGAAAAAAGGAAAAACATACCAAAGAACAGACCAAAAATGGAAAATAAAATTTAGAAATGAAATGGAGGTAAACGGTAGTAAGTATCAAGCATTGATCTTAATCTGATGGAGGTTGGATCAAATTTTGTCGTGACTCCTGGTAGCCATACCCTCGAGGGATAACTCTAATCAATTAAAAGGGATCAATTATTGATCCCCAAATGTTTAACACAAAAGTTCTGATCTTGGGGAAAGAAAAAGTGATAAAATACAAAAAAAACATTCACTGACAGATTGACAATAATCTGATTTTATGATCTTTGCAAACTGATGGTAAAAATCTTAGAGATTTCATACCTCTTGACTATTAGATCTAGTATACATAAATATGTAGTTTTAAAAATAAAAAAATTAGAGTTTGTAGTTTTTTTACATAACTAAAAAAGTATTGGTCTGAGGTTGTTGAAATTTAGACTTTTCCTAATTACACATAACCCTCCCTTTAAACCCGGAATTTTATACCAACTGCCTGAGTCCTCAGGCACACTGCCTTAATGGCTTCTTTTTCCTGTAACAAACTAAATCTTTGTTTTGACCCTTTTTCAGTTGTCAGATTTTGATAATATTTAGCTTTTGGAAACTTCATGACATAAGGAAACGGATTTGCACAAGTTCTGCAAAGAAATTTTTCAAATTGTTTGCAAACAACCCGTCTAAAGAAATTTGCACAACTTTAGTTTTTCTTAATTACACATCAGGTTATTTAAAATTTTGGAAAAATGTTGGCATATTTGAAATGGCATGGTCAAGAACTTTTCAAAACATGCATACTTTATCATTTTTTGGACGTTTTTTATTCAAACATTTTCACAATGGAATTTGCAAAAAGAAATTCTATTTTTACAAATTTGCAATTTATTTTGCAGATTCTAAAAGTAGAGCTATAAGAGCTTTCTAATGATGTTTCATTTGTCACATTTGGACATTAAACATGGGATTTAGGGGGGGGGGGGGGTTCAATTGCCCCCCTACCCCCCCCCCAGCGTATCTTGGTTTTCAAGAAACCCAGCATGGAAGGATTAATATGTCATTGTTGTTTGGGTCAAAATGTTCGAACATTCTTGAATATTCTTTTTGTTCTTTTATACTTATTTATATATTAATATATTAGTATATATTTATATATTAATATATTAGTATATATGAACGTATTTCTGGGAAAACTACTGAGTCATGCAAACAGCTTTAAAAACATTTCAGATATTCGATATTTCGATATTCGATATTTTATATATATTAGATTTGTAATATTTGGACATTTCTACATTTCAATTTTTGATGCTTTTGGTTTGTCGAAATTTTTAAATGTTTTATATTCTAATCTTTTGATTATTTAGAGACACCAAAAACATTTTTTTCGCGTCTTACAAAATAAAACTGAATGCTTAATATTATGGAGTTTCCTTCAAGTTATTCATGAGGAAATGTAAAATAAAAAGTTTACGTAGACCAAAAAAGCTAAATCAGCATGATGAACATAAAAATTATTTATTATCTTACTTTTTCTGCTTGTAATTGTTTGCTGTGATTTTAATACTTGGTCGAGCCCCTTGACCCCTTTCCGGGTCGACCCTTGGGACCTCTGGGGCCCCTGGGGGACAAAATGGAATCCCCCTTCGGGGATCCAATCGTACTTTATCAGCTCCATCAATTTTTCCAGGAGAGAATTCATGCACTTGACAAATATGATTTCAAACATTTGGAATAAAACATCATTTCGGGGATTTTTGATAAAAGTGAAAATTTCTGATAATTTTGTTAATTGTGTCAGTAGCATAAATCCGCAAGAGAAACCACAATAGAAAATAATCAATTTTTTCTGTAAAAAAATCCGATAACTGATGAATAACATAATTCAAGGGGATTTCATAGTAAAATAATTTTTTGAAACTTTGATTTAGAAAAAAGAGTTTGTGTCATATCCTTTCCTCGATCTGATTATTTTCACTGTTTGGTTTAATAACGATATTTTTTTTTGTCTATTTAGTAAAAAATATTTGAGACTTCTTCGAGTTGTGTCTCTGTTCGCACCCAACAGCGAACTGAAAGCCAAAGGTTTCAGATTCAGATTAAACCAAAGGAGTTATGAGCTGTATGAGCGGTGTTGAGAGAAGGTAGATGGGTAGATAGATAACCGGAGATAGATAGATAACTCGGAGGTTTCCCGGTTAATCAGCCGAACACGTAGAGAAATGTTTATAATAAACATCGAAAATAAAAAGACATATCTGTACATGCAAAAGTTTCAAAATTGCCTTAACATACACATCCATATATAACCGACCCCCCCCCTTAAATATTTAAAAAAGAATCACTTTGTATCAAGATTTTCACCTTTTATTTAGTATTTGCACAAGAATTATAATATACAATTGTAATTCAATATTTTGATTATGTAAACGTATATATAATATATATTAAGTATACTGCATTTACATAGATTTATGCTCTTAACTGCTTTTTTATCAAAACACTGCTATTGTATAAAATACTAGCCTAGGAACCCAGCTTTGTCAATTTTTCCTTTACAAGTTAAACCCCATCATTGCCAGGAGATTTTCTATAAAAGTCAACCCGCACTCAGTTTAGAATTATTAAATCAAACCGCGAACATATCGCGTTCTTCTTCCGAGTTTCCAAATCAAACAGAAAGCCAAACAAAGATTACTATTTGAAAAATATTGATATTTAGTTTCAAAACAAATATAAGACATAAATATTTTATAAATCAAAATTTCCACGACGCGCCTTCCTTGAAATTTTTTAAGAATATTTACAACCCCTTAATGAATGGTGTAACTTCTGACATATTTTTTTCAGGGTTTTCATTGTTTTTGAGATCTGTTGCGACTTACGATACTCTTTTAGTTAGTAAAGCATATGGTAAGGGGGTAGGGGGGTTATATTGGTGTAATTTCAAGGATATATATATATCCCCTGAACCCGGGGGTTATATTGGTGTAATTTCAAGGATATATATACCCCCCTGAACCCGGGGGGTTATATTGGTGTAATTTCAAGGATATATAAACCCCCCTGAACCCGGGGGGTTATATTGGTGTAATTTCAAGGATATTATATACCCCCCTGAACACCTAATTTCAAGGATATATATACCCCCCTGAACACCTAATTTCAAGGATATTTATACCCCCTGAACACCTAATTTCAAGGATATATATATACCCCCTGAACACCTAATTTCAAGGATATATATACCCCCCTGAAAACCTTAGTCTGATCATTATTGTGAAATATACTGTCGTTTTTAACGTTTTAATTGTTGCTGAAGCTAGAAATGCACAATTACACTTTGGTAGAGAAACTGTAAATGAAAATAATCAGTTTTCAAAAACCAAAAACATCCCATATTTTATTCGAACAGAAAAATTTTAAAGGTGCCCTTGTAGATCGGAAAGGCATGCCACTGAAACAATGGAAAGCCCATACCAATTACAATGACAATCCCTTTAAGCGGGTTCCTGAGCTGTCCTGGTATGAATAATATATATATGCGAAATATTTTAATTTGATTTAAAACCGATTTTTTACTTTCTTTACAAACAAATATAAAGAGCAAATATAAGTTTAAATGTGGAGGGTGTTTTGGAACACCCTGTGAAAGGGTGTATTGGAGCACCCTGTGAAAGGGTGTATGAGAACACTCTGTAAAAGGGTGTATGAGAACACCCTGTGAAAGGGTGTATTGGAACATCCTGTAAAAGGGTGTATGAGAACACCCTGTGAAAGGGTGTATTGGAACACTCTGTAAAAGGGTGTATTGGGGGGAGAGGGGGTCCAAAAATCGTTTTTTATGGAATTACCAAACTATCTGATATCTCTGAAAACTATAGACAGTATGAGTGGGTAACATTCATACGACGTGAGTTTCTACGACTGTGTGTTCCACTGAAGTTTTGATTTTACGCACAGAGAACATGCTGGTTGCACACTAGACATTCAAAACATTTCGTTCTTCTAAATAGCTCTTTAATAAGAGGATTTATGAATTCTGATTGAAAACATGCAAGATTTTAACTATAACGTGTAATTTATACTTTAGTTTTACGGATCGTTACATGTTTATTTCTACCTGTCAACCTATCGTCTGACAACATTTTTCGGACATTTTATTTCGCCAGCGGTTAATTACGTCTTATCTTGATCACTGTCGGAGTATAACTGATTTGGGTTCCGAATATTATTGGCTGATCCCGGACACTATAGTCTTAATCTTTCAGAGAATTAATCCTTTGGATTATCTGGAAGAAATCATGAGTTAGCATGATGAAATAATAGGACAGCGGAATGAAAATGAAGTTTAACCCTTATCTCTGCTGGGGGGGGGGGTCAATTTGACACCCCCCCCCTCTAAATCCCATGTTTTATGTCCAAATATGACAAATGATACATCATTGGAAAGCTCTTGTGCTCTACTTTTAGAATCTGCAAAAAAATTTGCAAATTTGCAAAAATTGAATTTTTTATCGCAAAATCCAGTTATATAGTAAAAATGTTTGCAAAAAAAATTTTTTCCAAAAAATGGAAAATTATACATTTTTGAAAAGCCCTTGACCATGCCATTTCAAATATGGAAATATTTTTGCAAAATTTTAAATAACCTGAATTTTAATCAAGAAAAACTAAAATTGTGCAAATTTCTTTTGACAGGTTGTTTGCAAATCATTTACAATTTTTTTCGCAAAACTTGTGCAATTCGTTTTCTTATGTCAAAGGCTTTCCAAAAAGCTAAATTTTATCAAAATCTGACAAGTGGAAGTGGGTCAAAACAAAGATTTAGTTTCTTACAGGAAAAAGCAGTCATTCAGGCAGTGTGCCTGAAGACTCAGGCAGTTAGTATTACAGCCCGGTTTTAGGACTAAAGGGATGGCTGTGGGTATGTAGGAAAAGTCAGAAAATTTCAACAGCCTCAGACCAATACTTTTTGAGTTATGTAAAAAAAACTACAGGGGGGGGGTCAAATTGACCCCCCCCCCCAGCAGGAATAGGGTTAATAAATGCAAAGGGTTAAAAGAAAGATGGTAGGCGGAGAAAAGAAGAAGGGGCAGTAAAAAGGGAGATAAAGGAAAAAGGGGGAGGGATGAAAAAACTTAGGAGGAAATGTAAGATTGGGGTGGAAGAGAGGAACGGGAGTGGAGTGGGAGAGAAGAAGAGAAGGGGAGGGAAGACAAGATTGTGGAGGGAAGAGAAGTTTGGTAGGGAAGAGAAGTTGGGGGAGGGAAGAGAAGTTGGGGGAGTGAATAGAAGTTGGGGGAGGGAAGAGAAGTTGGGAGAGGGAACAGAAGATGGGGGAGGGAAGAGAAGTTGGGAGAGTTAGGAGAAGTTGGGTGAGGGAAGAGAAGTTGGGGAAGGGAAGAGCAGTTGGGGGAGGGAAGAGAAGTTTGGGTAAGGAAGATAAAATTGAAAGTGAATATAAGAAGAATGAGGGAAGAGAAACAGGAGATACGGAAAAGAATGGGGCAATGGCAAGAAAAAAGAATGACAGAGAAGGAATGGCAATCAATAAGAAATAAAAGATATATCAATAATGCAATTCAATGGAATACTAAAAAAAGAAAATAATAAAGATAAAGAGAGGAAATGTTTTAATGTTTAGATTAGCTCATGAAAAATAATACTATTAATTATAATAATAATGGTAATGTTGAGAAGAAACTGATAAAATGCTGGATTGCTAGTTGACCATTTAGCACAATATTCTAGTTTTATATAATTAATATACAGCTAAAACATCACTATTCAGCACAATGTTAAGATGTTATAAAAAAAACAGGGTGTCCAGATAAAATGTTACCGTTTAGCACAATATTCAGATTTTATACAATATACAGGGTGTCAAAGGATAAAATGTTACCGTTCAGTACAATATTCAGATTGTATACAATATACAGGGTGTCATAAGATAAAATGTTACCGTTCAGCACAATATTCAAATTGTATAAAATATACAGGGTGTCCAGATAAAATGTTACCGTTTAGTGCAATATTCAGATTGTATAAAGTATACAGGGTGTCGTAAGATAAAATGTTACCGTTCAGTACAATATTCAAATTGTATACAATATACAGGGTGTCATAAGATAAAATGTTACAGTCTAGCGCAATATTCAGATTGTATACAGTATACAGGGTGTCATAAGATAAAATGTTACCGTTTAGCACAATATTCAGATTGTATACAGTATACAGGGTGTCATAAGATAAAATGTTACCGTTCAGCACAATATTCAGATTGTATACAAAACACAGGGTGTCGTAAGATAAAATGTTACGATTTAGCACAATATTCAGATTTTATACAATATACAGGGTGTCATAGGATAAAATGTTACCGTTCAGTCTAATATTCGGATTGTATGCAGTATACTGGGTTAACGTCAATGTTACCGTTCAGTCTAATATTCAGATTTATAAATATTTTTCGTTCAAGAAATTGGATTGAAACCTGAATTTCTTTTCCCTTAACGCTTCAGTAAATCAAAATTTAACTAAGTTTTTTCTTCGCATAATTATAATCATCATCAAATTCATTTGTAAACTTTAAAAATTTGTATAAAGTATTTTTAACATTCTTTCAACACAATTATTTTGTTAGTTCCTATCAGTCCAGAACATTCATCAATAAATGTACCCCCTCTTAATATCCACGTCGCAATTTATTCCGAACTGAAACTGAATATTAAAGGGAACCATTGCAGGTCCTTTTTTATATTTTAGAGAATCAACAATTTCTTTTTTGATCTATTATTACTGTCCCACATACGATATGATAATTTTCATAAAAAATGTTAAGTTTAAAAAATTATTAGAACTATTAAAATAATATCCATCCAATTTTTTTTGAAATATCCAAAAATAACTTTGCTTGGTCAAAATCCAACAAAGTAGTTTAGCATTGATAACAATTAGCAAACTTGCTGGATGAGAGAAGAAGTTTTCTTTTGCTATGGATCTATTGAAGTAAGTTTTTGAAGATCATAAAAATTCTTTTGAAAATGTGGTTTTAATCTTTAATTTCC